CAGTGCAAGTTACGTTATGGCTATAACAAGGGTCTGCTTACCTATTCAGGTATGTATATGGTGTCGGAAAATAATTCGTAAAACATTCCTCTGTTGAGCTTCTGGAAAAAATAGAAAAAGACCGATGCGCAAAATTTAAGCATGAATTTGATAAATATGCACATGCTTCTTTTCAAGTTTCGAATTGTTTTCAATAATGAATTTTGAAAGTACTTCACAAGGAAGTCAATTTTAGGAGTATTTATTTAAGGTCTCTTTCTTTTTTTAGTATATTCTTACTTTATGTTTGTGTCGTCTGCTTCCAGATTTCATCTCTATGATTTGCGCTGTGACGTCATTGTATCGACAATGTATAGCCGTCTTCACCTCGCTTAAAAAGTATCGCACCTTTATACGTTCGACCATCTGCACGCAATGAACATTATAAACCGAGTAATACTCACATAATGATCATTATTCACCGGCTTCAACTCACATGATAAATATTATTCACCTAGTACTACTCACACACAAAGAGTACTACTCACATCACGAACTCTCTGAGCACTACTCGCCTTATGACATGAATAAATAAATTACAACATTATCAAAAATATAGTGAAAAAGCAAATTAGTTTATAGATATAAAATCTTCGTAAAAGAAACTATTTCTTTTTGTTTTTATTATTCAAGTAATGTACATTTTTGAGGTAGGTTGAACCTCGTCAATCAGTCGAAATTTGACGGAAACAACCGAACAGTTGGAATTGCTGAAGAAGATATTTATAATTCTATAATACAACTTGCCTTATTAAGAAAAAATGACACGCTTAGCAAAAAAGTCATCTTTATAAGATGCCATTCTCTATAAATATAATTGAAAATACAGCTTTAGTAATTCACACGAAACGGTATAATTTTGCACCAAAATGAATGAAAATAAGCTTTCTTTCTTCATAAAAACACAAAATCAACGATGATATTGACATCTTTTATCGTAGAAGGCCATATAAAATGTTACAAGAGAATGTGTAGAGTAAAACAGTTCTTAGCAGATGTATATTTGCAATTTACAATGTTCTCGAAAACCATTAAATGTAGGACAATGCACTTGGTATTGATATATAAGAAAGTTACCGTGCATATGAAAGGCAAAGTCTAGTTTGGATTTAGGGAACGTTTCTCATCTAAATTTATAAATAATAATGAAACTACCGAGGCTCAGGAGTCGCCATTACTTGTTTGTATTACTATACAAAGTCACGTGATTTGTCCCGTGATACATGTAAAAGTCAATTTAATGTATGGTTTCTTAAACTGAATTTATTATGAGCATGTGTATAATCAATTTTAATACATTGATATGAGGAGAAATCATATTGCAATCAGTTAGCGAGTTTGTGTTTGTATAATTATTTGTACTTTAGAACTCGTTCTCTCTATTCCCCTTCTTGGGCTTCAAAATAATTTGTAGATGCTTTCATCAAATCTTCTGTTTCAAATGACACCAAGGACAATCAACACGCATTTTTATTATATAACAAAACCTTTTAATAAATGACAATGATCATATGAAATTTGTGAAGCTAAGGGGGACAATTCCTAAGTGTATTCAACAGAAAACCTGCTGTGATATGGTCTATGGAGTCGTCTCCCTTAGAAGCAAAAGTAAATAGTCTCTTATAATTCTGTTTAGAATTGCTTTTCATGTATTTTATATTTATGTTTTATGTTTTATATATATTCATGTATACATGTTACGATGAGACTTAAATAAATAAATAAATAAATTCAATTTAATTATTTTTAAGTAAAGATATCATGGTTATTGTGACGTCAACTTTAGAGGGGGATATCTCTGGAGTAGGATGGGTCGTGTTTACTAATTCTGAAGTTCCTGCAAGAAATGAAAGTGAATTAGTAACAGTAATTACCAGTACCCGTCTAAATACGTGTTTATAATAAATTTCCAGTCTTCAGCTACTCATATGTTTTATGGTAAATTTCAAGTCCCCATCTACAGACGTTATCATAGTAAATTACCAGTCCATCTACGAACATTTAAATGGTAAAATATCAGTCCTATACACACATTTATAATGAATTGCTAGTCACTGATTATGCACGTATTAATGGTAAATTACAAGCCACCGGCTATGCACGTGTTTATGGCAATTTCTGGTTACTTGTTGATTAATTAGCAGTCCCAGGTAATACACTTATCTAATGACAAATTTAAATTTCCTGGCTTTACATGGATTAGACATGCAAAGTATTATTTCATTGTTATTCACTTATTTTCTTCTAATTAGCAGTCCTAGGTTGAAAATTATTTTAATAAAAAATCCAGTTAATGGTTATACGCGTATTTATTTTAATTTACTAGTACCAAGTTTCGCGTAAACAAATATTTATCGAAAATAATGTTTCATGTATGTAGTCTATCCATCTGTCTGTGCAGCTTTCGCTGTCGGATATGAACCCCAGACCATGTCATTCGTAAAGATCAATTTTGAAGCACAATAACCAGTTATTTGGAATGAGGGGGTTGACAAAATGAATCATGTTTTCCGATTTTTTTTCACTGGTGTCTTGCCGGACAACTTTCTTTTTAATTCATTAAATACAAAAAAAAATCAAAGGGGAAATCTTTAAATTTCGTAAAGTCTAAATAGAAAAGTTTATAATGAACAGGAAAAAAACAAGTTTAATACGGGATGTGGTTTGAAAATTATCATTTAATTAAAATTTCTATGTCATAAATTGTCATTTAATAGACATTAAACGATGCTCTCAAATGTGTCAAGAAAGGACATTTGGCAATGGAGTGCTTGCTAACATGCCTGTTACATAATATGTATTTCGGATAAATCTCGAATTTGTTGGATTTTAAGCAACGTGAAGGTGAAACATTTCGTAAAACTTTTGCCGGCAAGTAATTCATGTTGAGAAGGTTAACTCCCTAACTCTGTTCTCTAATTTTCTTCGATTTTCATTTCACTGCATCTCTAAGTAGATTTTCTCTTTTTCTTCAGAAGGTAGATGTAGATCATATATACTCTATTTTTGGACGACCTCGTCTTTTAAAATTTAAAAAAAAAACTTAAGTTGGCAGGGGATACATTAGAATTTTTGCAACGATACAATTTATTAATAAAACAAACTGTCCATATTTCAAGGGAGATTTTGGTTTGTTGGTGCAAATATGAATTAAATGCAAACTGCTACTTTCTTTTATGTACGGCACTATCCTTGAATAATGACCAGCGTTATGCATATTGCACGTGCAATATTTTTTGTGTGTGAATATTTGGACTTTTGGCCACCAGGAACTTAACCCTTTACCTCATATATACGCGAAACAACGCACTTTCGACCCTCCCCCCCCCATCTTTTGCGCCTCAAAAAGTGAAAAAAATGTCCTATTTTTGCCCAAAACACATGTTTTCTTTTGAGAAATGTTGCTTAAAAAAGTGAGCAGTTTTTCGGCGACGCCGCCCCACCCCCCCTCCAAAAGATACATCAGGGGCATGCCAGAAGGGGGATGTGCACCCTTCTGTTTGGGGGTTTTGAAGGGGGCGGTAGTTCCCCTCATTGCCAAGAAAATTTTGGACTTGTGAGAGGCTAAAATGACCCCAGGTCAATCATAAGGTATTGTGTAACTAACGCTGAAAAGTCAATAACTCTTTCTCAATCCCTTGAGAAGTTGCAGCACTTTGATATTTTGATGGAAACAATCAACACAAAATAGTGATTTTTTGAGATGTCTCTTCGTTGCCATGGTAACAGCAAATTTAAGACTGATTATGTCGTTACAAAGGCAATGGTCCAGTCAACATTTATGCCAAGTTTGATTAGTATTGAAGCTTTTTTTATAGTTTCATAGCAGTTTGAACTTGTAACAGGAGGCTTTTCAATGAAAATGGCCATTTTTCACAATATGCTCATGAGGGAAAGGGTTAACAATTGCACATTTTAGATCCCTTTTCTTATAACAGTTCCAATTTGATGTAACTTAATAAAATTTGCATCCGCATTCAGTTTAATGCATTCAGTATTATCATATTGATTTTGCAAATACAGTACAAACCCTCTGTTAACGAAACTGGACCAAAAAGGTCTTAATTGCGGGATGGTCATATTTGTAGATATTATTATTTTATTTATATCATTATCAATGTAAATATAAGCATACGCAATAAGCAGACAAAAATGAAAAGCACGAATTGTATTAGAAGACGATTTATTACAATCTTCTTTCTTGAAGTTATTTTTCAAAATGTTAAGATATTTTTACTTACATTTTCTGAAATATATTAGGCTTGCACTGAGAATGTTACGTTCTAGTGAAATCAATGACAATATACGGTAAATATCGTACAATGTTAGTTAAATATAATCTGGTTATTGATATCAATGGTCAACATTGACTTTACATTCAGACAATAGTTTTATATGTCTATATAATTCTCTGTCCCTAATTTTTTAACAAACGTTAAGGTAAATTCTCTTTTTATTGTACAACGTGACCGTCAAATTTTATTTCCTGTAGTGGAATATTTTGGTGTCCAATTTAAACTGTTTCAAAAGGTTAAGTGAGTTAAATCCATTCCATGTCCTGTCAAGGTAACAATGCTCAATTTTATCCGGATGATATCTATACAGAACGATGTACACATTTTTCAAAAATGCACTTTCATTACAATATAAATTTTAAAGCCACATTTCGCCTGCCCTTTTGTTATTTAAATGGAATCTAAGATAATATTTAGCGTAAAAGTTTGCGGTATCTTCACATAGTTTGAAGGCTAGGAGACAAAACAAACTTGTATGAAACACTTTTAATTGCTATCAGCAACGGGCTATGGATTAAGCCAATCTTACAGTGATACGACTATGCGTGTTCACGGTCCATTTATCAGCTATCGCAAGAAATGTGTATTTAATGTTTACATAACAAAAACTACACATTATATTATCAATTATTCATCACTTTTTAATCAGTTTTTGTACTTTGATTAATCTAAGTTTATCATGTTAACGGAATTTCATTTCTACTTTTTTCAAACTGTAGTAAGTATTCTTCCAATAATACCAGGTAATTCCAGTATTATTTAATTTACCACGCAGGTTATAATACCGTCCATTTAGATTGGAAAATTGGCAATAGTTATACCACCACGCACCATGACGAGCTTTTGCACAATTGCCCGAAGAATATGTATCATGGTCTCTGTCATAAGTTGAGAACATCATTCCATTATGAAAGGCAAGAGAATCTCCAGCAGTTCCACTGTATCCACTCACCTCCAGTTTGTAATTATCTTCTTCCGGGTATATCTTGAACTTACTATACTTAGCATAGGCACTGTTTTCCTCAAAATCTTCAATCTCTATTCGAAGTTCGTATACGCTATCTGATGTCAGTAGACTCAAATATTTATTACCAAGCCAGAACTCACCATCTAGATCACCAAAGCCGTTTCTATATTCAGCCCAGGTACGATAAAAATCTGTTTCTCCATTCAGTCTTCTTTGAAATACTATCCAGCCCCCGCCGTCTGTAGTTTGGTCACAGTAAACTTCAACTTCTTGCCGCAATTTGTATATTCCATTTTGTAATTTATCAATTGCTCTAAGAGAACGACAGGAGGGGCCCCGAAATAAGTAACCTATTTGAGAATATAAGTTAGTTACAAGAGTTTCAATGTTTTCAATTTGTTTAGACATTTTCTTATCATTGTCGGTGTTTAGTTGCACCTGTTCAGATATTTTTTGTAACACTTTTTGGTCATTTGCGGATGTAAATATGTTTTCTTCAGCCGACTGTTTGACAGTTTCAAAACTGGTTATTAATTGATCAGTGTAATTAACGGCAACTTTGCAATAATCTTTAACATCTTTGTTGAGGGATGTCAAATTGTTTTCAATCTCTGGAATTTCCCGTCGAAACCTTATAGTCTCAGTTTTTTCCGCAGTGAAGGCTGCCCTTAGTCTAGCTAAATCCTCTTTCAATATATCCACAGTTTTAAAATCAATGTCACCAGCTTTTGATGCTGTAGGAATGGGCTGTTCTTTTCCAGCTGTAGCATTTAGCACTTTATCTATGTCATCTAGCCGTCCTGTAATTTCAGCAATATCTTCGTCTCTAAACGAAAATTCGGTATTAAGTCTATTTTCTAAATGTTTGACCCTTAACTTTAGGCGATCAAATTCCTTTGTTGAACTCGTCATACCAAATACATTTACACCGAAAAGAAGGACTGATACTTTACCAAACAACAGCATATTCAAATGTAACTATTTGTTATAGACCTATCTTGAATCTAGTACCAAATATTTTCCTTTATCAGTTAAGAATAATTTTAAAACAACTTGAAACAATCCGAATCCTTTATACTTAAAAACTAAATTTTATCCCGTTCGTACACTAATTCGCGTAAGTTTATGATGATAGGTTTTCTCTCGAAAGAATGTGTGTTATTTATACATTTCTTTAAAGTAGCTACTTATGTACTCTCATTCTAAAGAGGTTGTGTGTTGTTCTCTTGCCTATCAAAAGAAACAACTACAAGATGCATTTAAACAAAATGGAGCCTGTTATTTTTTTCTTCAAGTGCTTTAAAAAGAGGTACTTTATGTACGTTGTATGTTACATCATTAAATCTAATTATATGGTTACAAGAATATATGTATACAGTTAACCCTTCACCTCATATATACGCGAAACAACGCACTTTGGACCCCCCACTCTGTCTTTTAGGCCTCAAATAGTGAAAAATGTCCTATTTGGGACCCAAACACATGTTTTCGTTTGAGAAATGTTGCTAAAAAAGTGAGCACTTTTTTCGGCGCGCCCCCCCCCCCCCCAAAAGGGGCGGGAGTCCCCCTGATCGCCAAGAAAATTTTGGACTTGTGAGAGGCTAAAGTGACCCCAGGTTGATCATAAGGTAACGTGTAACCAACGCTGAAAAGTATTTGACTCTATCTCAATCCCTTGAGAAGTTACAGCACTTTGAAATAAATTTTGATGGAAAAAGTCAAGGCAAAGTAGTGATTTTTGGCAATTTTGAGATGTCCCCTCGTTGCCATGGTAACAGGAAACTTAAGACTGAGCATGTCGTTATAAAGACAATCGTCCAACATTTGTGCCAAGTTTGATTAGTATTGAAGCATTTTTCATAGTTTCATAGCAGTTTGAACTTGTAACAGGAGGCTTTTCAATGAAAACGGCCATTTTTCACAATATCCTCATGAGGGAAAGGGTTAACTGTAAGTTATTTTCACAATGTGTAGCCAAAAGAGTAAATCTAACTTATATAATACTAGTATCACATGATGTTTTGAATGTAATCTAAAATTGTTTTACTTTATAGATCTTTTTACGACGCGGTCCGTTGCTATGAAAAATTGACCGGAAGAAGTAGTGTTTCGCGCATGCGCAATCTGCGTAGGGCAGAAAGTGCCTTGCCCTACATAAAAATGTAATAGAAATTCATAGACAATTCCGAGTTAGTTTAAGGTAAAGATTAGAAAAACCATATAAAATAGCTTTTAACAGCTTTTCATAGCTTTGTGGCCAAGACTGCCCAAAAAATGCACGGAAAGACGATTTTTAAAGAATTCACCCTTACGATCATGGACCCGACATTGAAAATATTGTTGTGAAGAAATGTGGAAATAAATATATTAGCAAATTAAGAAGTCAATTCAATTGTTGTTGAAATCGTCTATATTATATAACATTTTTATATTAATTTTCTAACATTTAAAATCGAGTTTAATTATCATTCTGAAAAAAAAACCGGAATACGTGTTATAATGCATTTTTAGTTTAGCTTATTTTATCTTTTATCCGACTTGACTGAGATGCGAAACAAATTTTGTTTAAGTCACCTATATATTTAAATAATTTTTCAAACTCTTGGGAAGTTAAGATGGGTGGTGGAATAACACACATTTTGTCCGGTTCCTTGTAACACGCGTCTCGTACACTGTCACTTCACTAAATCATTGATTACATTGGTGTAAATAAAAGTTACTTAATTTTCATAGTTTTAAGTAATTAACTATGTCATGTTACTAAAACGACCCGGTTGAATGATAAACTAGCTGGCAAATAACAACCGGTCACGTGTCAACCTGTTACTTACCGCCTTGCCAATCCACTTTCAAAGGAATACCAATTGTGTAATATTATGTAATACATGGGTAATAAAATGTGATCTTAAACACCCTGCTGTTTTGATTTAAATCACTGATGAAAAAGTCACCTAATGTTACCTCGAACAGAGGACTTTTGGTCGTTGAATTATAAGTCCCGCTTATTTTATTTCTTTTTTCTGTGTGACATAACTTGAAATCACGCCTTTTAAAGTCTTTAAGTTCACTAAAATGTATTCTATCTTTATTGAGCTTTTGCCCTACGCAGAATACGCATGCGCGAAATGCAACATACGTTGCTATGGAAAAATCGTATTTTAAAAAGGTCTATAGCATATATTTTGAAAATTAAGTAAAGATATACAAATTGCCGGTGAATCGATGATTTTCCAACTTCATTTAACATTTCGGGTTTTATGTTTTTATGCTGTGGAAAGAATATTACATAAGTTTCATGGAGATTTTCATTAAACTCTATCATGGCACGTTTTTTACTCTTCCTATAAGTCTACGTATATACTATTGTTATAGGACAAAAGCACGTGGGCGCATATACATTATTTGAAAGCTGCCTCCTGAAAGGTTCTTTCCTTAGTTTTTTTTCTTTCAATTGCTGATACACATCATATTTTCGCTACACTATTTCAAGATATTAAATGTAGGAATAAACGACAGATTACGATTTTTTTTGAAGACTTCCTATACAATAGTGAAAACATTTTAAAACGAATGATTTTATATACATGTATTCAAATGAATGACAAGAACGAAAAGTAATCAAGCAGGACAATGTAAATCTATTGCGTAATTCTAGTTTTTAGGCTGTAGTCTTTACAGAACAACCTTAAATACTTATGCAGCTATTTGACAGCATTCGTTATATAAAAGAAATGCTATTAAAATTTACTGAGCTTTTAAACAATGATAACAAAGTCGTAATTCAGAAGTTATTATTGTATGTCTTGAAGAGCTTTAGACTAATAGAGCTGAGACAAATTATGTTTAAATAAATACAATGTCATAGACAAATACATATAGAAGCATTACATTTTGTGATATCATGCATGTATCCTATTTTGTGATTTTTGAAATTGTAATCTTTTAAGTCACCAAAATGTCTCCCCTGATAATGTTAAAAATAAATTGTGATCAGTTATACGAATATTATTTTTCAAATTACTGCAGAAAAGATCATATTGTTGTTTTCAATTGATATTCACTGTTTAAATTGCCATTATAATGATGTTTGATAAATGAAATTTAGATATTGTAACTGTTTGTGTGTTAGTGTATAAAGATATGTAAAATGATATATCATGTCTTATTTCTGAATACAGCGTATTATAATTATATAATCCAGTTAAGCTCTTTGAAACATATTCTTTATAGTCGGGATAATACATTATTTGATGAAAAGCATTTACATGAATATTCACCATATCAATAAATATCCCTTCATTCCACTGAAATTCCTTGTGAATGACACATTTGCCTATTCTTTTGCCTTCATATAAAAACGAAGACTGTTGTCTGACTTGCACTTAATATATAACAGGTGCCAAATGAATAAGACACCTTTATTGTAAATTTCACGCTATATATAAAACAAGGTCAAACTATTAAAGTATTATAGATTCCTATACATTCTTATCATAAATTTAGAATAATGATTGAAAATATTGATATTTAATAAGAATATGTTATTTGGAAAGTGTATCAAAACATATAAAATGATTAACGTAATAATTATGTTTTAATATTGTTCTCCTTTATGATTTGCTTTGTACTGCTGTTTTATAAAAATGATTTCTGTATCATATATCTTATGTTTGTATCATGCATGATGAACTGAACGAAATAAATGTGATTTGATTTGATTTGAAAAGCAAATAAGTGTCATCGTCGGTTTTGTACGAACAAATTTAATGTACGAACAAATTTAATCTCAAGTGTTTCACACCATTGTTATGAATGATTGAATTTAAAATTATTTTTAAGTCAGTACTATGTGCGTGTGCATAACGTTACGTCAAGGTGGAACAGAAACTGATATGTCTGTGCATTATATAAACGATCTCACGACGTCAACGACGTAACAAAATCAGCACTGACGTGCGCCAGGCGGTGACCATTGTATTTTTTGTATAGCTTTTTCCAAAGAATTTTTATTGTTTGTATTTTATTTATATATTTTGTATAACTACACTAGACATATTCCCATTCATTTTTATTATTTTTAAGTAATAAGGTATTTATAATATCATGGTTTTGGTGACGTCAACATTACAGGGTCGACTGACGAGTGGGGTATCTCTGGAGTAGGATGGGTCGTGTTTACTAATCCTGAAGTTCCTGCAAGAAATGAAAGTAAATTAGTAAAATCATATCAGTGATGGGGATGATGATGATGATGTAAGTGTATAGTGTATAATAATGATAGTAATAGTAATACAAAAATGTAATGATAATGACATTATAATCAAAAATAACAATAATAACGATAATAATGATGATGATGATGATGATGATGATGATGATGATGATGTAAGTGTGTCTATATGCTTCAAGCTTCCAACATAATCGATCCTAAATCAATGCCTTATTAATTAAAAATTCTTATAATAATAATAATAATAATAATACAAAAATGTAATGATAATGACATTATGATTAATAATAATAATAATAAAAATGATGATGATCATGATGAAAAAAACAAAAACAAATTTATTACACTTTACTATTTTACCAAACGCTTGGACTTAAAAGTTTAGTGCAAAATTTAATGAAATGGATTCAATTTATTAAATATGTTGTTGTTATTTTAATTGGAGAAAACTTTCTAAAAACAAATATTTTTCAACTTAAATTAACACATATTTATTATCTTATAAAGGAAAGCATGTCCGATGATTGATTTTGATAACTATAAAAATGGACATATGAATAATACCTGTAGGTCCTGTAAACGACGGATTTTGCGTAGGACCTGCAACAAGGAAGAACGGTATCAGTTTGGGACAGACATCAACTTACATAAATTTCAAACAAATATTTGACAAAGAAACCTAGAAAAAAAACAACAATAAAACTCTCCTTAAAAACGTTTCAATTCACGTGTATGCTATAATTTATGACAAAATTAATGTATTTATTGAATGACAGCCGGGAAGACATTAGTTAGAACAGCCAACATATAAAAGGACATGCATGCAAGTAAAACAATATTATACTGTATATTTTTCTATGAGAGAAGTGGAACTTACGAGCACACATGTTACAAAACTGTCTACAATTCTGCCTTGCCCATCCTTTAAATGAATCTCTGGTACATGATTCCGGAGGAAACTTGTCACAGTCTGGATTTGCATCCTCACAAGGTAAAAAGTCTGAAATGCAAGAGAGTTGATAGTCTGTATTACCTGCCCCTGCTACTACGTTATAACCGCAGAATAGTCAGAATGGCGTGGAAACTGACTAACTAGTTATAAGATTATTTTATGCGATTGTAGCAATCTGATCTCTTCTGCAATAATCCTTCGCAATAGAAACTAAAAAGATATAATAAGGCGACTTATTGGAACTAATTTCAGTCACATAGTAAAAAGGCGGCCTCCATGTGCCACATTTGTTGCAAAAGTGAAATATATAAGTTTCTTTTATAGACAAAAGAATAACAGTGATATTTTGAAACTGATAATTTCCCTTCTACACCAGGAGTAGAAAATTATTGCAGAAGTTGTAGGAGAACGTTACTTTCTCGCGAACGAACACTGTCGAATTACGTAAGTTAGCCATGTTCTACGTGCGAGGCCTCTTTGTCGAAGAATACAGGAAAGGCTGATGTTTTACGATGGCTATGGTAGTAGCTGAATTAATGAAAGGTCAGCATTCAAACTATCACTTGCAATTCACTGTTAAACTAGATTTGATCAATAATTGTTGCTATGTATATTTTTTTATTATTTACATATACCTTTTAACCAAATTCAAACCAAAACAAAACGATTTGTACATGCATCTTCTATTTCTGAAAATTCCATCAAAGGAAACACTCATCGCATGTTCAATAGCAAGACAACACATATCGTATCCCCTTTTTAAACAAGTATCCTCTATATTAAGAAGCTTCCAGAAAACGCGCGTATCCCTTTTTATATGAATAAAACAGCCACAAACATATCCATGTTTTAAGATTTACATATGCAACAGCCACAGCAGAAAGTACACTTTGACTGAACCTTTGGTTCATAAACAGACACATACATGTCCCGATTTATAGACTTATATTGGCAAAAATCACAGAGGTAGGCACACTGTGACCAAGCTCATGGTACTTTATACTTCCTTAGCAGCTAAATGAATGTACTAGCTGCCGTTTCTTCTCATAATAACCAGAGTGACAGACACACTGTGACCAAGCCCATGGTTCATACATCTCTGTTTTAAGACTTTCCTAGCTACAGCGATAGGTACACTGAGCAAGCACATGTTTCATACATAGATATTCTTTTTAGGACTACTTCACACAATAGCTACAGCTATAGGCGCACTGTGAGCGAGTCCATGGTTCATAAACAGACATTTACTAGTATATCTCTTTTTTAGTCTTACCTTCACAATAGCCACAGCGATAGGCACACTGTGAGCGAATCCATGGTTCATACACAAACATATACTAGTATATCTCTTTTGTAATCTTACCTTCACAATAGCCACAGCGATAGGCGCACTTTGAGCGAGTCCATGGTTCATACACAGACATATACTAGTATATCTCTTTTTTTAGTCTTACCTTCACAATAGCCAAATCGATAGGCATACTGTCAGCGAGTCCATGATTCACACACAGACATAATTATACTAGTGTATCTCTTATTTAGTCTTACCTTCACAATAGCCACAGCGATAGGCACATTGTGAGCGAGCCCATGGTTCATATATACCCACACACTTCTCGTCGGGATATGATATACAATTATCTAGCTTGTCGGTGCAATCTGAAATAAAAACAGAATGCACCGAAAGTACATAATAACAGTAAAGTGAAATACATTTATACGGAAACGTATTAAAGTTCATGAAAATGTAAAATGTGTCAGTTAAATGCCACTAGATAGACAATAAAATTGTTAATTGACACTTTTAATGGTTGTATTTCATATAACACCATTGCTATAATTTCCCAGCTTTACTGGTAGAGTGCACCTTCGTGCATATGTTATTATAGAGACAATTGGGGCAGAACTGCCGACCTTCCTTCAACTAGCTTTTTAGCTTGGACAATACATTTTAAAACATAAAACTAGAAAATGAATAATGAGCACATCATTAATAAACAAAGTGACACTGGTTTTTATTGTATTTTGTCTTAAAGGAACTCAACTGAGGTCCAAAAGCCTAAAACATAACATTTGAATATTTCTTACGTAGATAAACTAAGACACTTAAAACAGAAAATTGTGCAGTAGAAAATTAAGAAATATACTGAAAATGAATTGATATCTGTAATTTTGTGCTTGCAACGCTTTTAAATTTTAGGTCATTTTTCACAATTAGAATAATTAGTTTGGCAAAAAGAGTGAGCGAATGATCTGAAATTTTGCACCCAAGCTATTTGTCTAGAACTAAATCAAATGGAACATGAATCGCATTCATCTCGAAAACTTATTTTAAGTCCAATCATGTCAAAAAACTCAATGGAGTCCCTTTAATATGGTAATGGTTATTGACAAGTGTTTGTGAAATACCAAAAGAATATACGTACTAGAATCTGTTGAATTATGTTCTAGGACTGCGGAAGAAGGCGCATCCGCTGTTGTGGTCACAACTATCCCCGTATTATCTAAGGGATAATTTGCATTCCATGTATACAAACAAAATAACGAGTGTATGACAGTTCAAAGTCAAAATTTAATTTATTATCATATCGTCATCCATTGTTCGAAATGCATTGCACCAAAAGAAATAGTCCGCATAAGCCATAGAAATTAACTTTATGGAGTTGAATAAAGAATTCAAAAGGTCAAAAGCAAAAGCTAGTTGTCAGCAATTAAAAGGCTGATAAAAGAGATAGTTTTATTGTGATCGTGGCTCATTAAGGACATGGTAGATGGCCCTAGGTTGATGACACCACCAACATATGTTTTCTCGATAAGAACAGCTTGGGACAATGCAAATAACAGTGTTATGATGAAAGATATTAATAGTGCAAGGATAAGTTCTAAAGGCATTTATTTCGTACGACAAAATGCTTTAAAAAGGAATGGATTTTACATGTGTTACACAGCAAAACGCTTTTAAAAAGAGTTTATTTCGAGTGCGACAGTTAAAACTAAATGGCCTTAAATGAAATTATTTCTTGTCCGATTTCTAACACAGAAAACTGTTGTTAACTGACTATATTTCATAATCTATATGTACATGCAAGACGGCAAGTTCTTGTAAAAATTCATCACGCATTGAAGGATATACAAAAAGTTTGCACCTAGTTTCCTCACGGACCTAATTATCAGCATATTCTTAATTTAATTTCATAATTTAAGCCATACCAGTCACTGATATAGAAGGTTCGGATATAGATCACAAACTTGAAGAGATATTGGGCGACTCTATCAAAATGTCACACAACACTTTTTGGTGTGAAAAGATTGTAAATAAGTGATCTTTCACTTTATTTAAAAGCATAACTCACCGTTCGTCAAATGTAATTGAGACCAAAATGTTTGTGGTCTTAGATACAGCACTGACTTTAATCCGCATGGATTTCCTTTACGAATTATACACTTTTTTTCCTTTTATAACCACTCAAGTTAAGAACTCAAACTTTTATTATGAAACAAACACTGGATGTTTTATGTGACATACAAGGTGGTAAAAGAAGACAGTAAAAAAGCGACAGAAGACATGGACTAAGGTTATACCGAAGTTAAACTCTAGCAGTCATTGGCGGTGTTGTTGCTGAAATAAATGACCAACAAAAGAGTTACATTATGGCGGAGTTATTCTTTGAAGAGCAGACTGGAGAAAATTCAGCTTACAAATTATCAAACGATATCACCAATATTAAGCTTTTGTTTCCTCTATAAAATTTCTTAAAATACGAAGAAAGGGCAAAAACTGCAGAAATAAAATAGCTTTGCTTTCATTTTTGGATAACAAACATGGATTACTCAACCAAAGCACATAAAAGCTTAAGGATATAAATATATCTTTTATGATGCATTTTTAAAAAGAAGTAGCAATTAAGCAAATATCTAAATATTTCAACTGACATACATGTTTATATCACGTGCAAACAATTTAAAGAATTAAAACAATTTCAATTTGAAAATAAAATTGATACTTTACGTATGCCGTGTCTTTAACAAATACATCTAAAATAGCCCTTTATTTCAATTACTAATGTATTTACAAATTAAGGTTCAATTTAAATAAATACAAACATGTTAAGCAACCATAAATAAACCATTGATAATGTATTAAATCACTCATTTTTGTATTTCCACATAGCATCTCCTTAAACTTGAAAATGACTTTTCTTAAATCAAAACTGGACAAATTCTATTAACAGAAACAGGACGTTAAGTGTTAAAAAATAAAACTAGTTCTTACTTCCGCATGGAGGGAATCCGCAATAGTTGAAGCAATTTTCTCGTGCCCATGCAAAGTAGCTATCAGCCGTACAAAGGTCACCTCCGTCAAATTCTTTACAATTTGCCAACTTGTCTTGGCAGTGGAATGGTGTAAGAGTCACTGATAAAAAAAATATATCATCTATTCATATCAAGTCAATGATGAGATCATAGCTAATCTAGTGTAAAGTTTAAAGTAAAAAAAATACTCATTTGATGTGCTCCTAAATTTAATGTAATTCCATTTAAATTGTTATTGAAGTTATTTAAAAGTTATATTTCTAGATGCAATCTTCTAAGTCATGATATCTTTTCCGCCTTATCGAAATATTTAAACTTCGCCTTAGGGAGTTGTATTTCGTACCAATTATGCATTAAAGAACGCAGTAGACCTTTACAGACCAGTAAGATATAGAGGATATTCAAGTTTTTTCTATAAATACATGATTTATTTTCAATGAGTGGTATGAAAATAAATATTTCATGAGTGGCGGTAGCCACGAGTGAAATATGGTAATTTTCATGCCACAAGATGAAAATAAATCATGTATTTATAGAAAAACTTGAATTTTCTGTTTATTATATACATTTTTCTCCTTTTTGATATTAAAATTTGAAAAATTTTCCCTTAAATTTTGTGTACTGGCAAAATTTAAAAGAAAGTAGTCCGGCAAGACACCAGTGAAAATACGGAAAATATGTTTCACTGCAGTGAAAAATAAATTTTTACAGTGAAAATACGGAAAATTAAAATACGCATTTTATTTCATCAATATTTCTCAATATTTCATTTATAAGTATATAATAAATATTATTATTGTTGTTTCAAAACGACATAATGAACGCTTCCGGCAATGATAACTTGTTGACCAAAGTAAACTCAAAGATCTTAAACTACTTTTGGTAAGCGATATTTTTTCTAATTTGAAAGGTTATTACTCATTTTTTTTTAATTTTCTTAGAGGGAAAAAGTCAAATTGACCTGATTACAAAAAATTGCAACATCATCAATTACCTGGTACGCAGAAGCCACAGAAAACACTACAATGTGCTTTAGCCCATGGACGGTATACCCCACTTTCACAAGCCGTCTTTCCGTACATTGCACAATTATCCACTGTATCCCTACATGCCTCTACAACGACACAGCAGATTTTCTTCTTCAAATAATTGTCGATCTTTTATTTGTACACTTGAAAATACTACATGTGTATGAAACACACCAATTCTTTACTCGAAATTGCACAATACACTGTAATTAACATGTATTACCTGGAGCATACTAGTACTATCTTATATGAAATTAATATTATATACACAGTATTTAACGTACCTGTAGTTGTTCCGACTGTTGTAGTCGACGTTGTTTGTGCAGCTGTGTTAGAAAGCGGTGGGGCTTGCGTCATTGGAGGTGCGGTTGGAGGCGCGGTTGAAGGTACGGTTGGTGGCGTATTTGTTTGGGTGGTTGATGTAGTGGTCGGGCCTGTAGAAGTGGTCGCGGCTGTGGAATCGGTTTGTGTATCTGTAGAGGACGAAGTTGACCTACTTCCAGGTGTCTTAACAGCTAACACGGTAGTTGATGGTGTTTCGGGTTTAGGGGTTGTCGTTGCTGCTTCAGTCGTTGTGGGCGGGACAGTTGTAGTTGAAGGTTCCTCTGTGACAGTAGGCGGAGCTGTAGTCGTTGTGGGTTTGGTTGTGGTCATGGGAGGAGCTGTGGTTGTTGTAGGGGCATCTGTAACAGTGGTTGGAGCAGTAGTTGTAGAAGGACTTTCAGTGGATTGAGTTTGCCTTGTAGGCGTGGCATGATTAGTTGCAATAGGAGGTTTTGCTGAATAAAGCACAAATTAATGTTGGTATTTCATTTATATTTTGATACAACAGAGAATATAAATGAAATACATTGCTTTAATTGCATCGGCGTATTTTTTGTTCCAAAAGTTGAGCTAGTAAGTTTGACTTTGACAGAACATTTTCAATATTTGTTTGTCAATACAAGATTCGCATGCTTTAATCAACATCCCCTTAATAAATTAAATTATCTTACCCATAACAAAAAAGAAGACTCACCGTGAGTAGTAGTGGCTTCAGTTGTTGTTGTTGTAGCTGCTGTTGTTGTTGTAGTTGCTAAAAGACATTTGTCGGTATTAGAAATGAAATTTACTATGAATTACAAATGATTAATCTGCAGTTTCTGATAGTCCGATAAATAACGAATCATTTTAGGAATTTTAACACAGTGCAGTCATGAGAAAAATAAACACTTTGACTGGTGTAAACAACGCAGGGAGACATACATTTTCCTATTCCAATTTAAACTTCTATTCAAACATTATTTAACAGCCAAAACTATATACAACTAAATTTTTGCTAAGCACCATTAGTTAATTTCTATATTATCACAGGTTTCTTTCCAATTTTTGAAAATTCTAATTCAGCAATGTTTTGAGATAGTCCCCTAAAATGAATCCGTGTTGACTTATCCTGGACAACTCGACTAGTTAGCATTGAAAGCATGCACCCAAATATTTTCATGTTTTGATGGGGTGTACAATGACATGTTTTTTTGTTATACGGCTACATTACCGGCTGATTGTCATTCAGTGGCTTGCATTTTTACATATATTACTTCGATATGGTAAATGCTAACATCAGGCGGCATGTAAGAGAAACAGGGTAATGGAGGGGAGAAGGGAAGGTGCTGCATGAGGCACCTTCAGCCAGGTTGGTGCGGCGCTTTGTGTACACCACACAGTCATCATTAGAGCCTGGGAGAGATACCGGCTACATGGTACAACCGCCAGGAGGAATGCTGGTGGTCGGCAAAGGGTCATAACACCAGCTAAGGGTCGGTTTTTGGTCGTTCAGGCACGTCAGACAAGGTTTTCGACAGTTACTTCTCTTCGAAATGACATTGCTAATGCTGTAGGGGTCAATGTTTCCACAAAGACAGTACGTAGAAGGCTGTATGAAGGTAATTTGTGCTCGAGAAGACCTTGCATACGTATCCCCTTGACGAATCGACATCGCAAGGCCCGTTTTGAATGGACCATGGAGCATACACAATAGACCATGCAACACTCGAGACACGTTCTGTTCACTGATGAGACCAGGTTCTGCCTAGACTTCACAGATAGGCATGCTAGAGTATGGTGAAGACGAGGTGACCGGCTTCAGGCTGCAAACATTGCTGAGCAATATGGACGTGGTCAGTTATGGGAGGTGGGTCAGTTATGGCGTGGGGAGGCATCAGCTCGGATGGACCAATCGACCTGGTTGTGCTAAATATAAGCACAGTGACAGGTAAGCGATACATAGACGACATCCTAGACAACCAGATAAGGTTGTATGCTTGAGCAAGCGGCGATCAGTTCATTCTAATGGACGATAATGCTCACCCTATAGGACCTGGGTGGTCCAGGACTACCTAGAGATGGAGTCTATTGAGCACATGGACTGGCCAACTCGCTCACTTGACTTAAATCCAAAAAATACATGTGGAATGAGCTGCAGGCTAGAATTTCAGCTCGTCAGCTGCAACAAAGAACCATCAAGCACTTTGGAGCCATGTAAGTCCAAGAATGGACAGCCATGCGATCAGAAACCTAATACGGAGTATGAGAAGGCGCTGCCTAGCTGTCATTGATAGTCTCGGGTCACACACACGATATTAAGTCTAAAAGTGTAAAAATGAAAATAAATTTTACAAATTTGGAAAACACGTTGCATGTTCTAAAATCCTCAAAGAGGGGTGCATCCTCTTTTCTAGCACAAAATCAGTGAAGGGATAAATTCGTCCTTCAGCTTCATTGATAAAACTGTAAATCAACATTTGACACTTTTGCATGGCGTTAATAAGATTATCCCAAAAATTATTCACACTTAAACATATGGTGCTTAGCAAAAGTTGAGATATATATATGAGACGCAATTATCATTGTACTAGTATAAGTGAACGTTCCTTAGGAACTTTTTCATATTTGTCATTATTTTATATTAGTATTTAAGTTTTTTCCTATTATAAGTGAAACAGTATCAACGAATAGTACTATATGATGCATTTCTATAAATAATACCCAAGGTTGAAAAAGCGCTCCTCAATGGTTTAAGTGCCGGCGTTCAAAACAATTGTGTATGGCCCTTCTAGGCAGGATGCGAATTTCAAACAAGGATTAAATGCTTTCCAGATGGCATTATTTCAAAAACTTTTCAAAAACTTATATAAACATATACCAAAATGCATGAACCAAACTAGTTGGCGTTGTTTCAACAATTTATATATATATATATATGCATAACAATATACCAAAGTGTACAAAACTAGTTAGCATTGTTTCATTAAGTTATGTCGATGCATAACATATACCAAAGTGCATGTACCAAACTAGTTGGCGTTGTTTCAACAACTTATGCTGATGCATAACAAATACCAAAGTGTACCAAACTGGCTGAAATGGTTTCAACAACTTATGCTGATGCATAACAAATACCAAAGTGTACAAAACTAAACAAGAGAGTAATTGTTGTCTTTATTTCTTCGTTTCTATCTTATGGTACGCCAAAGATGCAATATCCACTAAATTTATTGAGCTATGTATACCACTCCTGTTTATTCTTTATATTTCATAAACTGGGGAATCACTATGCTACAATCCCACTTTGTCTTCAGGGTTAAAATACTTACATGGTGCTGCTGTGGAGGGTTTAGAGTCCCAGTTGTTATCAGGTTTTTGGTGGGGATGGAATTCACTTCCGGGAAATCCTGAAAAAAGGACAAGCTATAAAGACACTAAAAATGAAAATGACACCTAAAATGCCTAATTGCGGATTCAAATAGCTTTTTAATGTTTCAATGCAAAATGTGAGTATAGATAAAACATTTGTTCACTTTGAAGAGATATTGTATATCTGACTTTTTTTTCTTTTTCAAACATTTTTACAAGTGATAATATTTACGAAACATATGAAGATTTCAATCACTTAAATTCGACTTGAAATGCCTTTTGTTATTTGGAAACATTCTTGATAAGTAAGGATACAGTAATATAGTCACAAGCTATACTGAATTAACATTTCAATGCCAATTGGGAAGTATTTGAATTATGATTTAATGTCTTTTACCGAGACACTTCTGAACTTTTACTAAACACTTGGAGTTCCGGTCCCCCACCACAGTACAGATACCAAGTTAAGGTTCTTTGGCCCTATGTTGTAAAACGGTGTAAGCTAATCTGGGTAATACGTGTACTCTCGTAAAACAATTATGTTAAATCTGTACCGGATGAAATAATCTTATAAAAAGAGAGACAAATTTATGTATTTTCTTGTATTTTATTTTAGGGTGTTAATGAGGAGAATTTCGGCAAAGAATACTTACCTGTTGAATCCACTAAGGACGAGAGCGTTGTCTCACGTTCTGCAAGTGTATTCAATACATATCCATAATTAAACATTTCAAATGCTAATTAGATACACAGATGCATGTATTACGCATAGAAAATTAATAAAAAGTAAACTATTTGGCAACATCATTTAACATCATTTAATAACACATATTGGGTCATAATATGAAATATGGATATGGATACTAACAATCTGGAGATGGGGATGTGGAGAACAAAATATAATAAATTCAGTTCTTCAATCATATTTTGCATAAAGAAAGATATCTGCACGTATTGTAAACAGTTATATATTGTAAAAAGATATAATTTGTAAACTGCTGTCTGATGAATATTTCTGTAGTGGAAATTTGTGAAAATTTAGTAACGTTCCATTGTGTTCACCTAAACCTTGCAAAAACACTGCGTCACATAACTTTCCAACACCTTTTGGATAAAAATTTCATACATTTATGCTTTACCACAAAATACTAAATAAAATACACAGTTTTTTCTGAACTGCACTTATACTAAAAAGCACCGAAATGGTTTTCCAATGAATAAGTTTCCAAAAAACGAAACGATGGTTAAAAGTCAGAATACCTGCGCATCCGATGTTTAACTTACCTGTTGGTGCTTCTGTGTTACAAAGTGGATCATTAGACGTTGCGTCCAAGCAGTCATGTGACATCCCGTGATGGTGGCTTGCGTGAAATTGTCGTTTAGAACGCGCAGACACTGTAATGACAAATGCTTTGAGTTATCTCACGCAAAAAAGTCTGTCTATATTACTGTAAAATCATTAGCATTGATATGTCATAAGTTTTGTAAAAAATACTATGATCATTTAATTTTAGAATTGCGGATCTATTGTAAAAGATTTTCACTTCCCAAAAGTGATGAAAAAGGTTCAGTGTACACGTAAGTTATTATAGTAGCTTTTCCCCTTTTATCTAGGTTTCGATGCATAGAAAAGATTAAGTAAAAGATTAACAATAACATCATCATCAGCATCAACAGCAACATCAACAAAAACAAACAACAACAACAGAATATGACACACTGTCAAACCTAGAAAAGAAATTACTGACCCTTTGAACGTTTTCCGGGCAAGGGTGGTGCTGCGGTAATGTAACTAATAGTTGGACTATTCTTACCTGAAACAACAAAAGCTTACATTACATAATGATTATATGAACTATGAGGCATGAAATTAAAATTGGAAATTTCAATAAATGTTTTACAAACCAAGCTTACAAAACATAGAATAGGAATTTCCAATGCACGTTGTACAAACAAAACAAAGAATAGGGAATTCTAATGCATATTGTACAAACAAAACATGGAATAGAGAATTCTAATATATGTTACACAAACACAACCTAAAATAGAAAATGTCAGTAAATGTTGTAAAAACTAAAGCTAGAAAAATGAATAACAATACATGTTATACACACAAAATCTTAAATAGGAATATGTCAATCAATGCTGTACAAAAGAAAGCAAGAAAAAATAATAACAATATATGTTGAACAAACAAAACTGTCAATCAATGGTGTGCAACCGAAGGCTGAAAAAAGGAATAACAATACATATTATACAAAAAAGCCAAATGCCAATATATGTTGTACAAAAGAAAGCTAGACAAATGAATAACAATACATGTTATACACACAAAACCTTAAATAGGAAAATGTCAGTCAATGCTGTAAAAAGAAAACATGAAAAAAGGAATAACAATACATATTATACAAAAAAAAACTTAAATACGAAATGCTAATACATGATGTACAAAAGAAAGCTAGAAAAAGGAATAACAATACATGCAGGCAAAAAAAAATGAAAAAGGGAATTTCGATACATGATGTAAAATCAAAAGAACATTTAGGGAATTCAATACATGCTGTACGAACGAAACCTAGAATAGAGAATTCCAAAACATGTTGTTAACAAAACAGAATAAAAGATTTTTATGTAAAAACAAAACTTGGAATAAAGCATTTCATTGCAAACAAATTTTGGAATAAGGCGTGCCATTGCAAACAAATATTGAAATAGAGCATTTCATTGCAAACAAATCTTTGAATAAGTCATTTGATGGCAAACAAACTCTGGCAAACAAAATTTCAGCAGACAAAACCTAGGAAATTGAAATTAATTCAAATAAACTAGAAAAAAGAATTTCAATAAAACAAAACGTCTAATAGAAAATATCAAAACAGACAAAACTTAGAAAAGCAAGACAAACCCTAGAAAAAGATTTACAATACAAAAAACCCTAGAAAAACGGATTGATTTTACGGCAAGCAAACCCCAGAATATGAAATTGGAATACAAACAAAACATGAAAACGAAAATTACGATAAAAACAAAATTAACAATATTTAATTTGATTTTCTTAAGACCTTTATCATTCGGCGCTACAGTACTGAATGTTTTTGTTTGTCTTTTTAACTACGAAACCTGAAACCAAAAGAAAACGAATTTCAATGCACCAATATGTACATTTTTGTGTTTTGCTTTTTAAAGCACCTCGTATTTTAAAGGAATTAGCACTTAAAAATCCGTTATATTATTTCTTGTAGCATTGTGATGCAATTTTTTTTGCTCATTTATACAGCAATTCTTAAAAAAAGCTCCGCAAAATAAAAGTCTGAGGAAATACATCGAGATCATTTTGATCATTATACGAACTCATTATTTAAAAGTTCATATTCAACAAGGTCTTAAAATCCTTACCGCTGTACATGTAACGCTGACAACAAAACAACGACAAAAAACAAGCGAACAAACAGGCCTTAAAGCATTCTTTAGTTGAAACAGATTTGGCAAGATTACCTAGGATCATTCTTGGGAATTAATAAAATAGTTTGATAAAAGGATTTTTTTTGCAGGTCAAAACAAATCAATCAATCTAAGAGTTTTCTCTTTACATGTAAGGTAAATTAAAAAAATGCCCACCACCCTTTCCTTTTTAAAAATTAATAAAAAGATAAGTTTGTGTTAAATGACATACAATCATATCACCACTATTGTGATCAGAAGATTTTTATCGATTACCTATGACAATCACGGTTTCACATAGAATATAAAATTTGGAAGGAATCACCAAAAGGTCAGTCATTCAAGAAATCGTCTCCGTGGTTCACAATAAGGTGTTGCTTATAAATTATGTGTTCTTGCAGAGGACGAACCGACAATGAGATAATCACTAACAACAGTTTATGTTGTACTCTGCTGAAATTTATGACAGACCTGATCCTCTTCGTCTATTTGACATATGAGCCGTGACATGACGTTTCCAACATAGTGGTCAAATGATCATCATAGAAACGCGACGTCAAAGTTGACGCCAATATTTCTAAAGAATATGACGCGCGCTTTTCCAATCAGCGCTGTGCAGTTTTCAGGAAAAAAAATAATCTGATCTATCATTTTTATATTCTGCTTTTTTATGGTGAATCCTGTTAATTTCAATTTGAGTTGTTATCATTATCATAATGATATTTTGAAATGATAATCAGAAGCCGAGAATCTTTATAAAAGATGTTTTTTCAAATAAGAATCGAACTACCTCTCTAATCCAAAGCCCACTTAGCTACCATTTCAAAAATTACTGTTTCGTAACGACAGGAAACGTTTCATTGTGTCAATATTTTGCGTTGTTATTTGAAATATACTCTGTGCTTATAAGTGAAAGTCTATGTTTTTATTAAGTGAGATAAAACCCATAGCATTCATAGTATATCCCTCATAGTGTTCTTATTATAGCTTTGCCGATTTCTTCTTTTTCTATTTCGTTTCTTCTTTTTTTCTTTTTTTTTGTGCCCTACGTATTAATTTATCATTTCGTAAATTTCTTTATAAATGTATTGTGTATCTCGTTCGGTAAAGTATATTTCTCAACTCAAAGACACTTACTGTAATAAAAAAAATCACCGCAATGATGACTTTTTTCCGCAGTTAAACTCATTTTTTTAAGTAACAACGGCGCTGATTAACCTTGAACCCCTGACTAAACACTTGCCCAATCGTAATTCAAGTACCTTAAGAAAGAGATTTTGAAGGAAAATATGAGTTGACAAATCTAATTTCATGTATTCAAACGACTCTTGACATATTGTCCTTGCAACAGGACACACACAGGGCGTATATATATTCATTCTTTTGATTGTTATTTTTTATTTCCAGAGTCCAGATGTTTTTCAAGTATTTCTCTTTATCAATTGTAACATGTCGCGGCTGATATATATAAATCATAATAAAACACTTTAATGTTAATAGGATAAGGAAAATATAACATCAAGTGGATATGAGTGTTTAATATAACGGACATGCCAAGGAAGAAGTGGATGTGTGTGTGTCAGATGCTTGAAGATGTTGAAATATATAAAAAAAAATGAGGGGGGAAATAAACCATACTATTTATGTCTTGATTTACTACGGTACACTTGAATTAACAGTTAGAATAACTGGGAAGTTAACTTTTTTTTAAACATTTTTTTGAACATTAACATTACAAAAATAGTGTGGAGAAATAAAATAAAATAAGTGTTAAAAACATGCGTGAATATTTTCAGTTATCAATATAGATTCGAAATTAAATTCGAATATTTTTTTTTCAAACTGTATGTGATTTCACATATTTTTTCTTTTTTATTTCTTTCAGCGGTAAAATGTCACCGCAGGCAATCATATACAACATATAAGCTTGTTTGCCATTAAATCTAAAACTGAATATAAAAAGTTAATACAATTTTCAAAATATTATGGTGTAATAAGACGTAAACACAAACAAATAATGCAAAAATAATGACATGTGAATTACAATTATTGCCAAAAGTTTATATCTTAACCCTACCCTGACTGCATTAATTAATGGTAGACTGTTCTAATAATGGAAGCGTCGAACAGTTCATTTACGAAATTAAGCAATAGGTTAAAGGTTAATGCCCTGTCTTATCATGTTGATAGAAAAGTGTGTCCTTTTTTCACATGTAGGCCAAAATTTGATCTAGGTCGCAAACAGTACATGTATTTACATATGTTTATGTTCAATTAACTGACCTCTGTGTTATCTATGCCTAAAATTGTTTTGTAGTAAACTATTTCAGTTTTATCATTCAATACCAAACTCAAAATTATCATAAATATTGAAAAGTGCTTAATCTATCAACAGCAATTTGGTTGATTTAATCATTGTTCGAAGTTCTTTTTCTGAGAAATAAAAATAAAGCTTAAGCCACACACAATTATTTCCCGTTCCCTAACTGGGGATAGTGTGGGAACATAACCGTGCAATAACCTTCTTTCTGCCCCTACAGTATTAGGTCAACGCGACAGACTAGTTTTGTCGCAAAAATAACCGGGAGATATGTCCTACTTGCAGTGCTGGGGCTTTTTTGCGGCTTTTTTAATACTACCCGACTGTTGCACATGTTTGAATTATAAACTGTACATGTATGATTGCCATTATTAAAATAATACATTGATGATTTTTCAAGAACTCATGTTCAAATACATTATAAACAGGAAAAAGACAGTTGCAATCTTACGCCATTATGAATATAATTCTCTTGTTTACACCGTTTTCAGAGGACAAAACAATCAACAAGACAAAATGAGGGTGCGAATAGCCAGTTGCTTTTCCCGATATATTGTGTCGTGATGTAATAACTGAATTGAACAATACAAGTATATCATATCACAAAGTACAATGCGTATAAAAAGCCTGGAAGTGTTCATACTTAAGCTGGCGAGAGAAAACGTTCACAGTTTCAGTTCAAATGTAAAATATGCAATAAGCGAATAAATATGTTAAATACGAAATGAAAAATTCATTTAATGTAGCACCGCCAAGATTACGCAAATAATGTCATTCGCAACAGCTTGTCAGTTATTTTAGTCCATTATTGACCGAAAGGACTGGAAAATGTAGAAGACACCATTGTATTTGAACAAGAAAACTTCATGTCAACCTCATAGCAGCGACAATATGTTTTTAAACCACAGGGATAAGACGCGTTGATCTGATAGTATCCCCTACCGGCCGCTACCACCCCCCCCCCCCACCTTCTAGTCCCTGTTACAACTTCCAAAAATATGATTCCATATTTAGTATTTATAACTACAATAATACGGCACTATTACACAATTTTCATTATACCTCTATAGTAAAAGATATACAAGGGTAGCAACTCCTACGCAATTCCAGTGCTTTGATTCTACCTAAGCTTACATTCAGCCAAATCTCTATATGCAATGTATTCATACAAAAACTTGGTTTCGATATAGTATAGATAGACGTATGCAATGACATCTTTCATATTAAGCAGTGTTGCATTTTGTTAATACGAAAATCGAAACAGTCGGTATAAAGAAATTTGACCATGTTGACCATGTTATTGTCTCCATTAAAAAATGTATAGAGTTTTGGCTGACTAATAATATGAATGAAAACTTTGATAGAATCAAAGCACTGAAAGTACGTAGGATAAGTGCTACCCTTGTATAACTAATACTATAGAGGTATAATGAAAATTGTGTAATAGTGTCACATTATTGTAGTTATGATTACTAAATGTGGAAATTGACTTTAAGTCATATTTTCGGGGCTTGTAAAAAGGGACTGGAGGGAGTGGGGAGGGGATAGCGGTCGGTAGGGGATAATATCAGATAAAAGCGTTTTATCTCTGAGTTTAAAACAATAAGCTCAATTTAATTATAAAGCAATGTTAAAAACAAGCAAATTAAGGATTCCTTTGGTGACAGCAAACAATAAGAGCCACTTGGGAACATCTTGTAAAAGCGTTGAATGTATGCAATCTCGCAATACCACGCATAAAGTCGGTAATTTTCCGCTACATTCAGTTTCTGGTGTTTATATGGGGAAAATTTTATTGATGGCTAGAAATTCTAAACGTAAGGCTGATTTTTACTTTATGAAGAATTTATTTTAACTGAAACATAATTTCACTTCAGAGTATATGAAACTTATTTCCCTGGAACTAAAGCAGGGGCACCACCTACAAAGTAAAAGAAGTGAAATAAATGTAGTGTTTCTGATCAAGAAGAAAATGCTAGGGTATCTTTCATGCTACATGAAATATCTTAGTACAATTCAGTGCAAATAATCAGAACAGAGTTGTTGCCCCTTAGTCAAGACAACTAAATGTTTAGATATTTGATTTCAACAATATACGCTTGTAAATACCCCCCATTTTAATATGTATATAGACATTGCTGCGGTCACCGAAATTAGTACAGGCTATCAACTTTAGTATATACTTATATCACAAAACCTTTATATTCTGTAAAACATTTTATATCGTAATTGTATGAGTTATTATAGTCAAATATGGAAAATAAAGTTACCTCCCCTTATGTTTCATAGTATAATTTTTTAACGAACACAGTCGTAAACTTCTTTCCTACTTCTGATTTGGACATACATGTACATGTACTTTATTTTTCTATATACCATAATCAGAATTTCAACGATTTCAGTGGTCATTCGAATCTATTTTTATACTATCGCAACATACTGTATTAAACTTTCTGCAGCAATTACACCCCTTGATCAGTAAAGTTAAAGTAACGTAACGTATTTAACAATGCAGGTGATCTATACCATGCAGTGCAAAGTTTGGCAAAGATGATCGTATCTTTTTTATTGTAGAGAAACTTTACGATAGAAGTGTATCGAATCTGAAGGGTATTTTAAAAAAAAACTACAGCTGTTTGTTGTATTTCACAAGCTGACTTTTCTTTTAAAGAAAAAAGCAAAGTAAGCCACAAATCAAATCAATGAATGAACAAGGTACAAGCAAACATTTAAAGCCATGCCGGAAGCGGAAAAAGCCAACAACAAAAAATAAATGAATAAAGTCTTTCATTAAAGTAAGGAAAGATAAAGGCATTTACTGATAACCTTATTTAATCTTAATATTTTTGGCACTCTTAAGGGATTCTGTATTGTTCTATTTCTTTCTTGAAGTCTTTTTTCAAACTAACTGCAATTCAGTTTGCGCAAATTCGATTGCATGGGGTCATTGCTACTTGTGGAGTAAGGCAGAGGTTGTGCCTATCAGTAACTCGTGATATTTCGGGCAACTCCGTTACTGTCCGAATCTGGTTAATGTACATGCATTTGATCAAATTTTCCTATTATTGCCATATATACGCTTTTGAGTTAAACGACACGGGGGTAACGAAGTTTGTCGACTTTTCACGAACTTAAAAGTCTGATATCATAGTGGAAGCGTCTATATTTACGCTTTTTATCAAAAGTTAAGAAATTCGGCGTCCGATGAGGATTATTTAATCTTTAATTCCTTGAAGAACTCTTACCTGGGCTATTTATTAGTGGAGGAGCGAGTGTCGGGTTGCCGCCTAAAAAGGAAAATAAACATATTTCAATAGCATTGTTAGATGTAAATGAAAAGTAAAAAATAAAGTTTAAAATAACTTGCAATTATTCATGAATATTCACTTAAACAATTTATTTTAATAGCACTATTTACATTCATGAATGGGTCGGCTTCAAGAAAAAAATAAAGAAAAAAATGAAGAAAATACTAACAGAATTGACTGGACCGAGAAGCTAATCAAACTGGAGTCAAGTTCTTGTAAAAGTGTAATTATCTTCATAAAATATATAACCTGGCAAAATAATTTATGACAAAATGATGCAAGACACATATCGCGTGTCAGAATTGCTTTTCAATGTGTATTAGCAAAAGATTTCTGGAGCATGGCAAGATGTTATGTAAACCCTAACCTATGGCTACTGGAACAGGTGGAGCAGCTGTAAAGCCAGACGATCCTGGGCCTGTTAGAATTGAGAATAAGTTATACAGAAAAGCTAAAAGTGTTTTATTTAAATATCTGTGTGAGAAAATAAGCAATGGTTAAGCTTTTTATAATAAGTTTATTACATGCTATGTAACGAAATTATCATGCATTGCAAAATCAAGAAATGGCAAATAATGGAACCCTTAGGAAAACCATAACCAATCGAATTCTAACATAGTAAAAAAAGTCTAATAAATCAATTTAAAATGATATACCTGCAGATTGAATGTAAAAAATGGATTCATTCGTTTTATTTTATGATTATGGTAACATTATAAAGTCTCTATTAAAAAAAATAACTAAACAAATATCACGAATACCTACCTTCTTAATCAAAATATCTCCGGCTTCATAACATAATTGGAAAACACCGAAAGCTACATTTATCGGGTATGCATGTATAATTATATATATCCTCATTAGCATGACAAAAAGCGATCTACTCGAAAAATATATGTATAAATCCATAACCAAAGGCTATCAATAATTCCAAGCATAGGTTGAAAGTTTTGCAAGTCAATTCCTATTTACAAGGGAGGAATATCTAAAATGCTTTAGGTGTAAACTATAAAGTAATTTTATAACAATGCAAATTTATTCCATTGATGATGTAACATGCATTCCATGTTATGAAATTGCTAGTCACGTGGCACATTTGGAATATGCTCAATGACCTGAAATATAAACGCATTCTTAAGCAGGCAAGCACTATTTTTTAAGCAATTGTGAAACAAACTATAGACAAATTTGTCATAAAATTCGCCAGTCACAAATTCTCCAGTCATTTACATTATAATTCAAAGATTCATGACCGCTGCATTTGACCTTGACCTTGGTCACATTGGCATGTATTTTGCGCACAAAACTATGCCCTACAATAAAGATCATTTGTACCAAGTAATTTAAAAAACGAATTTTAAAGGAAAAAGTTTTCCTTTAACCTATTAGTGTGACCTTAACCTTTGATCTTGAGTCCAGATTTATGGTCACAAAATGGTATACATTTGTATCCAGTGTAATACATGCAGACACAATTTTGACAGATTTCTTTCAAATGGGATATCAATTTGATAGGGGTTTCAATAGGACGTTTCTAAATCTAAGTTTTGTAACGTTATCTTGTTTACCTACAATTCCATATATCTGTACTTAATATCAAGGATTCTATAAGATATTTTCATTAGATGTTTTCAATGTGATACTTGAAATTCATATACATGTATGCCTTTCTTTTCTTTGACACAAGAATGACTTTGTACGCAAAACAGATTTAAACATATCTAATATTCCCCTTGTAACTGCCAACGTTTTGACAACCATACAGTGTTCAGGTTCAACACTTACTTGTTGTTCATTTTAGCAACAGGCAGTGTTAATGCATTGTCTATTAATATCTTATCATGTCTATATGTAGTCACCGGCAAACAAATGTATATTTCAACAATTTCTCACTGTCCATTAAAATTTACCCCTCAATTATTTAAAGAAATCATGTTTTATATGCAACATTTAAATGTAGCAACGTTCCTTTAAAATCAGCAAGACTGTTTTTACACAGAATACTACTGTCAGTTAAAAATGATCTTTATACTCTATTTATACACTTTTGGTGGCCAAATGTCATTTAAAATTAAATGAATTCATCGCTTAAAGGTTGTAAAAATCGACCTAAAATAAAGATAGTTACACAACCGCCAAATGCCAAGTAGGAGCGGCTAAAGCAGACTTTGACATTAATGTGACGTAATATATATTTTATAAATATTCTTGTATCCATTAAAACGTAGGCAAAAAAGATAAAGCCGATGTAAGCTTTACCCAGTAACGCATCGCTATAAAAGCTGCACACAGTAAAAGTATTCAGCATTAAAGCATTTCGCTTAAAAGCAAGAATCATTACATAAATTATTTAAAAAAGTTTTTATTTCATAGAACATCGTTAAAGACAAGTTACTTAACCATGTACTTACATAAACCGCAGAACTTTTGGCAGTTGTCTTCAACCCACATTTTGAATTGAGGATCGGTGCAGGTGCTTGGGTTATATGCCTTACAATTTGGAATTTTATCTTCGCACACTGGAGGTGGGGTCGGTAGGCCTGCACGTAAAGAAATAATAAGAATTTGAATAAAATAAAAAATGAAATGAAAATACAATTTGAATTGTATCCAATCCATTATATCCATGGTATTTAATTCATAAAATTTATATTAGCTAAACCTGTCTTATTTAATTTAAAGTCAGGACAATATCTACAAATGAGCCGCGTCACGACAAAACCAACATAGTGCGTTTGCGACCAGCATGGATCCAGACCAGCCTGCGCAGTCTGATCAGGATCCATGCTGTTCGCTATCAGTTTCTCTACTTGTTATAGGGTTTGTAAGCGAACAGCATGGATCCTGATCAGATTGCGCGGATGCGCAGGCTAGTCTGAATCCATGCTGGTCGCAAACCCATTATGTTGGTTCTGTCATGACGCGGCTTAAATCTGGAAAAGTGGTGATCACACGGTAGCAATGAATACAACAATATTACACGAAAATTGCAGACTCGAAAAGACAATAACAAATTGTTACAACAAACTAGTAGCGTCATTGAGGATGGGCATGAACGTGTTTGAAGTTATTCAATGTTACACAATAACGTTTAGTTTTACGGACAAAACAATTAAACGTTGTCAAAGAAATGGTGAAAATATGATAAACAAGATCAATAAGGGAAGGCGGCGCTCAATGAACGCAACACCCACATGACCCAGCAACAAGAACCAGCGGCAAGGAGCTCAGGCGGACCCCAAACAAAAACAGGACAGGACAGGGCACAAGGCAGAGCACGGACAGGCCAATCACCAACAATAAAACCAACAATAAGGCGCTCAATGAACGCAACCCACACATGACCCAGCAACAAGGACCAGCGGCAAGGAGCCCAGGCGGACCCCAAACAAAAACAGGACAGGGCAGGGCTCAAGGCAGAGCACGGACAGGCCAATCACCAACAATAAAACCAACAATCAGGCGCCCAATGAACGCAACCCCCACATGACCCAGCAACAAGAACCAGCGGCAAGGAGCCCAGGCGGACCCCAAACAAAAACAGGACAGAGCAGGGCATAAGGCAGAGCACGGACTGGCCAATCTCCAACAATAAAACCAACAATAAGAGAAATTGAAAAGTAATATAACTTTTACCTTTGCAGAATCCGCAATAATTTGCACAATTGTCTTTGGACCAAGCTTCGAAAGATTTTGAACAAGCATTGGTGCCATATTGTCGACAGTCCACTTTGTCTACACAATCTGTTGTAAACATGTCAAACAATCATTATCATTTATTTCACTTACAAATATATTTCATTACAGAGTTTCAGTGATAAAAATTGAACTTATTCTGATACTAGTAATTACTCGGTTTTAAAACCAAAAAAGGAACATGTATATTGATGATAAACATACGATTTCTTATAGCGGCAATAAACACATAATAATTATTTGTGGATGCTTCTAAAAACTACAGAACAATTGCAACTTTTCGGTCTTTTTCGTCAAAATTAGTTTAAGGGGTGAAAAAGCATTTAACGAATACGGTATTTTCTAGCCAATCATTCAAAATCTAAACGCGCAAACAAGTAGTTAATAAATTCTAAAATTTGTTAACAGACACTTGGGGTCAGACAATGCCCCTACCTTTTTCCGCCTTTGTCAATGTTAATAGCTTTTTACATTGTATCTTATTGAGCCTTAATTTAAGACCATGAGGAACATTATTACAGGTAATTTCTCAAGCATTTTTAAGGTAAAAAGAAAATTACACGGTTGATTGTTAGGTATTATTTTAAGCTCAACACAAATGTGCACGAACGATACATTAAACAATTACATGTATTACAATTGGAATACATATTAATAAATAAGATTAACTGTCAGTAGGTTGGGTACATCAATTGTAGTAAATTTTGAGTATACAGCGGATACCTGAAAAGAACCGCTGACATTTTGTTCTCACACAGAAAGTTGCCGGCAGAATGCAAACCTACAGAGGCGAAAGGCAAATAATTCAAAGTGAGTGACCTTAACGACATGTTGGCATAGGCATGGTTTTATGTTCAGATGAAAGAAAATGACAAAAGATTATATTAAATACTGATGGATTTGACAGGTATAAGATATCAGTCCCACTACCCACTACATGTGGAGGTTTATTATGAGGAATTTCGCAGGGTTCAACTAACGTGTCTATATTATTTTCAACTATTCAACACTCCAGACTTAAATAAGTGTAATGGTTTAATACTATGCCACTAGTGACAGGTAACAATCATGCCAACCTAAATCAGATAAGCCGGACTACGCTTTAATACATGTAGTTTTGCTGATCAAGATAAAAACAGAAATAAGTCATACCTTCTGGTTTTATTGTAGTAGTTATTGAGTCCAATCTTAACAACTCGGCCTCTGAAACAGAAATTAAATATTTATATAAAAAAGTCGAAATTTCATTAAACCAAAATATTTACAAATAAAATAGTTAAACAAGATAACCATTGGTCAAAGAGTGCTCACATAAGAAACAGACTGGCATAATGGTGTCTATTATGCGTTGGCTAAAGTTTCAGTGGTCAGAGCAATTGCTATCTTGATCTTTGACCAACTGACCTTAAAATCAATAAGGCTACTTATCTCCACAACAATCTTAGGTTTGTAGGACCATGTTGTTTGAGAAAAGAACATCTTTTAATTGTTTAAGATGTACATAAAGGGAAAACCCATGCTCCCTTGGGCAGGACCAATAATGATCTCAAAACAGTTATATGAACAATCTTGGCAATGGTCAACTAGACAATGTTTCTTCCCAAAATATCTAAGCTTTCGCCTTTGAGCTTTCAGAGGAGAAGGCTTTTGAAGGTTGTATTATATACATAAAAGAATAATTCATGATCCCAAGGCAGGTCCTATTTTGATCCCAGGACTTTAATTTGAACAATCTTGGTTGAGATGTTTCATGACAAATATATCTAGGGTTTTCAGAGAAGAGCATTGTTTATGTTTTTACTTTAAACATATCAGAAAATCCATAACTCCTCGGGACGAGTCAATTCTGACCCTAGAGATATAATTTTAACAATTTTATTAAAGGACCTCTAGATAATGTTATATCATGTATATATCGCATACCAAAGCCTTGGTCATTGTACTGTCAGACAAGTTGTACTGTCAGACAAGTAGGTTTTTGAAAGTTGCATTTTAAACCCATGTTTGGCCCTGTGACCTACTTATGTAACCGATTGGAAGCATTTGAATAACTTTGAAAGGAGACGATCCGAAATTATTCCTGTGTTATCTGGTACATATCCAGTTATTTGTGACAGCGGAAATAATTTTATTTCATTTTTTAAGAATTTGTTACACGACGACACACGACGAACAAGGGGGGGTGGGGGGGTCACAATGGCTGAACGGTAGTTAATATTTGATATATGGAAACTTTGTGATGACCCCTGAAGTGGCTCAAACCAACGACTCTTGAGTTGAGAAACACATCATCAATGACTAGAGGTACGATTTCTTGAAACACTTCATTTGCATTGCATAATTTATTTCTTTTTAATACGGTAGTTAATATTTGTATGTTTATATGCCTAGACATAGTGACTGAATTTGCCTACTCAGACTATAATCTAATGCAATGTCATACACAGAACTGCGATTTCTAAGTAACTTTGAATGGTGTTTGTATTGCATGAAACGTGAACCAGTGTCAATGTCTATCTGTTATGTATCATTTCAATTTTCAAAACCGAGAGAGGGTAGAAAGAGCATTAAATTGTTTATACCATACTAAGAAACAGCCTTTCAAACGATATGTTCATATGATATTATTGTGAAAAATATAAACTAAAATATGATATTCCACTTGAAATTTTGTTAATTTGACTGATCTACCTTTATGCTTGAGCAAAAATTAGAACCAAAAAGTAAAGCATGTAAAAAGCAAAAGTAAAGTTACTCACGGCTACACATCCTGCAGAAATAACGACAGTTCTCCCCTGCCCATGATCTGTAATCGGGATCTGTGCAAACTGACTTATCATACGATTCGCAATTCGGGAGTTTGTTCACACAAGCCGGTGCTGGGGTGGTTGGACCTACAATAATACTATTTATGTCAAACTTTTGTACCCGAACGATATGAGATACCTTTGATTATTTTATAAGTTATTAGGTCTTTTGATGTTGAAATTTAGGTCGAACCAACACAGCAGAGGTAATGTGGCGACTTTCCAGCTTGACTAGCGGAGGGAGACCTCAGGTGCTCTTCAATCCGAACAGACAGCAAAGTAGAACCACCGACGTTTCAGCTAGCCGAATAGCATGAAAGACAGTCCCTGACGGCTTTCGAGCCCACAGCGGTGACGCAAGTTGTCTGGTCTTCCAAACATGTTTATTAAACACCTCAGATATGTCTTTTTCATGAATAGATAGACAAAACGTTTCAAGAGGGCATCGGGCAAAACATAATCTACCTTTATTAATCTGAATGTATGAAACAAGCAAATAATTATGTTAAGATATCAGAATACTTCCAAGTCCGTAAGCAAAGTTGTCGTTAGTGCCTCAATAAAACGTATCAAAAGAATGGGTAAAGTGGAAGGTTAACCAATTATTCATGAAAATCATGAAGTTTATCAAGTATCCAGTGTCTTACCGAGACAGTATCCACATCTGTTTGGGCAATATTGTTGGGCCCATTCCTCGTAAGGTTTTTCACAATTTGACTGAGGCATTTTCCAACAAGTGTCCATCTTGTCTATACAATCTTGAAAATAAAGATGCAAACATTTAAAAACCATTTGTTAACAAAATAGAATTTAATTGACCATATTATCTTCTTCTGAAAAGTTTTTTTAACTAATATAATTATGAAGACAAATATACAGTATCTTTTTTAAAATGTATTAGTTATAAGTCCATTAAGCCAGAAAGACCCTATGATTTTTATTGTTAAAGTTTTATTTTTTGTTGTTATGTTACATGTTTTGATTTGAATATTTACTCGTTTGCCATACTGTTGGCCAATTCTTCTTTTTTTATTTTGATCATTGGTAGTTATAGAAATTTTAATATTTAGTATATTTATATGGAAGACAAAAACACGTTTGTCTTTTGTTTACGTTTTGCTTTGTGATAAATTATTTCACATTCGACTCTACTTTCATCACACGATATGCATCTTAACCCAGAACATGCGGAATATTTTAAATGGACTTGTCCCACTTCCATTTTTTGGGACTGTCAATTATCAAGTTTTAAATTATCAGGCTGGCCTGGCTCTGTACTGGTGGCAAAGGTTTCTGTTCCAGCACTTTAATAGTTCAAAGCTGCTCAATATCTATTTTTATAATATTGTAAAACACATGCTTTCATTTTTCGAAGGAAAACTATCATTAACAACGGGTCTTTATATGAGCCGCGTCACGACAAAACCAACATAGTGTGTTTGCGACCAGCATGGATCCAGACCAGCCTGCGCATCCCCGCAGTCTGATCAGGATCCATGCTGTTCAGTTCAGTTTCTCTACTTGTAATAGGGTTTGTAAGCGAAGTTTTGATTAATGTCATGAAAATAAAAGGAAAATAAAGGAATGTAAGACAAATGTTATATTTAATTGTTTATGTAAAATATTATGACACTGAAAATTATACATGTAATGTATAGTGGAATCAAAAAGAAAAAAACCTAAAGTAACAAAAATCTCACTTGGATCGAATGATTTAGGTCCCGGTGGCGCACTTGTTCCAAAAGAGAGGGCAAATTGCCCGGACACCCCAGTAACGGCTATCAGAGGTAACAGCAAGAAAACAAACATTTTGTTCGTGTAAAACACCGAGTAAAAATGATCAAAAGTGATAGTTTGATTTGTTGATAACAATTCCTTTATAAACTAGTTGTGGGAGTGTTGGCACATGGCATACTGTCACCAAGATAACGGTACCAAAATGTTCGGGTCATCCTTAAGTTGAACAAGTGTGATACAATTTTATACAACTCTAGTATTACAGTTTATAAGTCGGAATTCAGAGCATTGGAAGATAAAGAAAGCCAATTTGGTTTTAAAATGATTTTGTTCGTTTAAAAAAGAAACATTCAAAACGATACAATGTCGCAGACACACATCATTTCTATTAAGCTTGCCAAAGAATTATTTATACATGACATTAGACATGCTGAAGTATTTATAGCAATTCATAATACTGTAAAATTGCTTGTTTTCTTTGATTTGATTAGTGCAAAGGTTATGGGAGGGTTGGGATTGGGATCGGGGTGTCGTAAGAGGTAGCGGGAACTTTACTTGTTTGACTTTCTGAAACAAAGCTTGCACTGTATGGCCTGTCTCGTTGCATTGGTATCAGGAAAGAGGAAGTTAAAATAAAGATGTCTCAAAAATACCTCAAAGACATGACGTTATATAGTTAATGTCAAACAATTAAACAAAACAGATAATTCGCTTATCTTTCATATTACTATCACAATCGTTATTTATTTTCATGACCTATTTTACAATAAATAGTTGAAAAGTGAAGAAAGTCTTTTTGAAAAAAAAAATGTTAGTAACAAGTAAAAAGTAATTCTGTATAACATTCGTGTCAAATTTATAAAACTTATGTTTAGTTTTATATCTTTTGCATAATTTATAGGTTACCACTCAAATTTCTTTTCATATTTGAAAGTCATTGGCGGCTGGTACAGAAAATATTGTGAAATATAAGTAATTATATTAATTATATTAGCGTATGATATGTCAAGAAATATTTCAAGAAATTAACAGAACGGATCATAGTGTTGTGAATTGATCCATAATGGGAAAGTCTGTAATATCATGAATAAATATGCCGAAAGTGTTTAGTATCAGTCGTAATAACAAAATACGAACTAATTATACAATGATGTTATTGTTATGAGATGCATTATCTTATAATACATACATTTATCTATATATGGCAGATAATTTTTCCTTCTTGAATAAAATATCATAATTCATCACATAAATTTTCATACTTCTACCACTTAGTACTCTGTTGTATTGTATAAGTATATTCAAATAATACAATTTGTATTGTTTTATCAATATTTGAAAGCATTTTGGAAAATATGCCCATTGAAGACCAATCCGCTTTACATAGATGTATTTGTGACATGTATCCTTTGTAGATATGAGCCGCGTCATGACAAAACCAACATAGTGCGTGTGCGACCAGCATGGATCCAGACCAGCCAGCGCATCCGCACAGTCTGATTAGGATCCATGCTGTTCGCTATAAGTTTCTCTACTTGTAATAGAGTTGGTAAGCGAACAGCATGGATCCTGATCAGACTGCGCGGATGCTGGTCGCAAACCCAGTACGTTGGTTTTGTCGTGACGCGGCTCATATATACTATACACTGCGTATAAAATACATGTATGACGAATACTTCAAACTCTGGACTTGTATGCAGAAGGACATGATAATATACACGTATATTGAGGTGCATATATTACAGACAGAACAAAGAAATAGAAAAAAAAAATATTGTTCAGCGGCATCAATGAAATATTTGCTCTGTTTTGTAAAACAAACACTTGGCTACTAGTTATTAAATGTACTGTATATTATTAGTCAATTTATCATTGATATATTGAAACAAACATTAACTTGAAAAATTGTCTTACTATTAAAGCAAAATTATTCTTGATGGTGTTTATGTTATTGACAGAATAAGTTTAAGGAAAGAAAACGGGAATGCTTTTGAAATTGCAATATAAATATTTTATTTTTGCAATATCTTATCGTTCATTTTGATACATGCGAATACAAAAATAAATAAATAAAAATGAAAAACCGGGAGGTTAATTTAAGAGTAAAATAAGAACAAAAATTGAAAAAATCGTCCGGAATTCGGAGTAGACGGGTTCCGGATCCGGGGTATTTTACTGAGCTATTGAAAATAGAACGAGTAAAATCGGGACCGGACACTTCGTTCGGATAAGAAAGGATTCCGGATTAGAAGGGTTCGGGTTAGCAAGTCTCGACTGTATTTACAATCAGACTGTAAAGGAAATAAACGCTTTTTTTATTTAAAAAATAAATGAATAAGTAAATAAATCAATCAATCAATCAATCAAAAAAATAGAGAAAAAATATCTCAAACAAAAATATCAAAGATGAGAGGACTCTCTTAAGTTAAAAGAAATCACAATAAAAAAAAGACCAAAGGTCAAACAAATATATAACATGTTAAATGAACAATCCACAAATATACTAAATATAATCCGTAAAATAAAATGAGCTGTACGGTAAAATTTTTAATGCAAATGGAAGATATTGTAATTGAACCTGTAACATCATGCGAAGATAAAAAGTATAATGACAGATTAGATTTTCAGAAGTCAATAGATATCTGCTTATTTCACTATAACATAAAATACCAAATATTAAAAACAAAAAAGATTTATATGTGTCACTGTACTAATTAAGAGCGACAAAACACCAAAGTTGTCATTCTCACAAAACCAAAACCCAACACTTTCCATACGTTTTACAATATAATGTTTTAAAAGACAACGCGTATACATGTCCGAATTATTTTCTTTTAATTTGATTTAGTATAAAATCAAGTGATCTGTTTACTTACATGCTCGTTAGGACCATATTGTTGAAATTTCTGTGTATACAGAAAATTACAGATACATGCAAATATCATCATCATCATCATCATCATTATAACCAGTAGATAAACTTGATTTATTAAGTTACTTTTAAAGCGTATTTGCTATAAATAAAATGTGAGAATGATGGGTATGGATTTTATTGTACAGTTATTTCGAAGTGATCCGTATATTTCAAACCAACGAAAGGTTAAGAGTTATCTAAGAATTTACAGATTAACTGCTGACAAGTCATTCGGGACACCTTGCCAATAGTCCCTAGGACAGGGCCGAAACTGTGATGTTACATAATAAATTTCTTTTTGCACAGGAAGGTTATCTTCTAAATAACAACATAGTACGTCTTAATCAAATTGCACTGAACCCTTCGTAATGTCACGAAATTTAGGGAAAGAGGAAGTTGAAATAAAATAATAAAATACACTTAAATATACTACATGAAGTACGTGATTTTCTTTCACTACAATTGTAATCTTCCACAAACATTGTGATAAAAGCTTGTAACACAGTTCATCCAAGTTCGTATGTCGACAACTTTCAGGTTCGAAATAGAGCTATAAACTGACAGTTTTCGTAAAATTGAATGAGTTTAGTTGTCATATCATTGATCTGAAGGATCTTGTCTGGTTCCAGTAGCTTAGCAACTCATTATTCGACTAGAAATTGTTGCTTTAAGAAATAGGGGAAAGAAAAAGACTAGTATTCGCCATTGTTTCGTGTCAAATGCGGCGTTCTAGTAAAAGATATTCATCAATTCAAATTTCGTGTGGGCTCTTGTGTCATTTCCAGATGAATCAAACGCTTTGTTTGTTTGATTGGGTTTTACGGCACACCGACACAGTATAGGTCATATGGAAGACATACCGTGCATTATTTCAGGCACAAACTTGCACCCGAGTAGAACCACCGACGTTTAACGCTCTGCATTATATACTATAAGAATCTTACACCGGCTGCCGGTACAGACCGGAATATCTAACTCGAGGGCGACTGTTTACGGCGGTAACAGTTACCCGAGAGTCTGTACCGACAGTCGGTGTTTGATTCTTTTTCTTGCATATTACATATCAATTATTTTCAGAACAGAAATTACGAAAACTGATATTCTCATTACGCACTTTTTCTTATAGTAGCGTATGAACTTACAACTTCATTCATAACGGTTAAGTGACGTCATCCTAAGAACGCAATTCATTCATGAAAGGTGCGCGGCAATGACGTCATTTAAAGCACGCGACTTGTCTTACATGGGGGTGTAAGACAGGGTTTTCTAGTTTCTTGCATATCAGACAGGATTATCTACCGTTTACACCGGTGCTGGAAAACTCTGTCTTACACCCCCCCATGTAAGACAAGTCGCGTGCTTTAAATGACGTCATTGACGCGCGCCGTTTATGAATGAATCGCGTTCTTAGGATGACGTCATTTTTCCGTTATGAATGAAGTTGTATGTTCATACGCTACTCTAAGAAAAAAGTGCGTAATGAGAGTATCAGATTTCATAATTTCTGTTCCGAAAATAATTGACATGTAATATGCAAGAAAAAGAATCAAACACCGGCAATTGGTACAGACGGGAATATCTAGCTCTCGGGTAACTGTTAAGCGGAAACTCGGCAGAGCCTCGTTACCGCCGTAAACAGTTACCCTCGAGCTAGATATTCCGGTCTGTACCGGCAGCCGGTGTAAGATTCTTATAATCTAGCTTGAGGGTGAATGTTTACGACGGTAACGAGGCTCTGTCGAGTTTCCGCTCAACAGTTATCCGAGAGCTAGATATTCCCGTCTGTACCGACAGCCGGTGTTTGATTCTTTTTCTTGCATATTACATATCAATTATTTTCAGAACAGAAATTGCGAAAACTGATATTCTAATTACGCATTATTTTCTTATAGTATCGTATGAACATACAACTTCATTCATAAGGAAAAATGACGTCATCCTAAGAACGCGATTCATTCTTAAAAGGCGCGCGTCAATGACGTCATTTAACGCACGCGACTTGTCTTACATGGGGTGTAAGACAGAGTTTTCTAGCACCGGTGAAAACGGTAGATAATCCTGTCTGATGTGCAAGAATATAAGAATCTTACACCGGCTGCCGGTACAGACCGGAATATCTAGCTCGGCTTTGCTGAGTTTCCGCTAAACAGTTACCCGAGAGCTAGATATTCCCGTCGGTACCGACAGCCGGTGTTTGATTCTTTTTCTTGCATATTACATGTCAATTATTTTCGGAACAAAAATTATGAAAACTGATACTCTCATTACGCACTTTTCTCTTATAGTAGCGTATGAACATACAACTTCATTCATTCGGAAAAATGACGTCATCTTAAGAACGCAATTCATTCATAAAAGGCGCGCATCAATGACGTCATTTAAAGCACGCGACTTGTCTTACATGGGGGTGTAAGACACTGGTGTAAACGGTAGATAATCCTGTCTGAGATGCAAGAAAATCCTGTCTGATATGCAAGAAATTGTGTATAGACGTCAAAACCCAAAAGACGATTGATAATGTATTTCCAAGTGCACATTCCCGATAGTTTTAAAATATTTAAGTTATAACATATTGAACGCTTATAAAATTCATCAACTTTGGTGTTTTTATAAAACAAATCTCGCTATGACAACCGCGTTTTCGTGTAAACGGTTAAACATGGTGAAATATAATAATTTAGACTTTAAAACGTAAAAATAACTGATCATTTATTTAAATGTAAGCTAGTTGAATAAATTAGTTGTAACGAGTTGAATAAATTAGTTGTTACGTTCTAGTCAACATTTCTTCAGCAGACGATAAATTATAGAACAAAAACTGTGGGACTTGAGGGTACTGTAGTAAATAAAAGCAACTTTTGTCGCATATTGGTCTTGTCTGACACAAGGGAAATAATCCATTGAGTTTTGGGTTTACTGCCCAGATACGGTTATCAAATTTAGATGGAGACCTATTTATTACTAATGACATCCTTATTTAAGAGGTCTTCTTCTATCCTTAATATACTGTATCCATCTCCTTCTTTTACAGGGTTGTAAATTTAAAAGTGTTTTTTTTTTATGTTTGTGCGTGTGTGTTGGGGGGGGGGGGGGGGGTTTAAAAGCCACACCATAATAGTAAAGGTAAAATAGCGACTTTCAAGCTTTACTGGGGACACCCGAGTAGAACCACTGTACGCCGGCCAAAAAGCTTCATCACATGAAAATAATCAATAGTACCTAGCGGGATTCCGACCCATAGCAGAGATATACATGTACAAGTGGTTTGAAGTGAAGACCTGAATCAATCATCACGGTGGGAAAGGGTGGCGCAAGGACAAGAGTCACATGACTAGCTAACACAATGAAGGTAAACAATAATTTTTAAAAGAAAATTTAATGAAATAATGTACAGGTTTTATTGTATGGCATTTTTACAAACAGTAACGTGTAACTATATTGCACTGTGTCAAAATGACACAAAGTAAAGAACCAAAAAAAAAAATATTCTAAATGCTCATCAGACATAAATCTCGTATCAAAAATACACATTATCTTTAAGTCTTATGTATACGATTTAAAAAACTTATTCTGAAAAAACAGTTCAAACAAGTGACCAACAGTACAAGACAGCAGAATTAGTAATATCACTCCACTGACCAATCGGAACTCCTTGGCTATTATACATGATAACCTCGGAATTGAAAGTAGTTCTGCCACGCGGTTTTAGATGTAGACAAAAACAGGCAGTGTAATAATGTATAGCTAATGTATATATTTGACACCCAAAAGTAACGCCTCTTTCGTTAAAATTATGATTGAAAAATATGTCTGACAATTAAATTGAATTTAAAAATGCCACTGATGTACAATTATAAACAAATCCGAATTGATGTAAACGAGTAGACATTTTCTTCAACCATAATAATTAAATAACTATTTGTTTACATGTTTAGTTTCTAAGCGTTGTTTAGAACGAAATAATACCGTATTAGTTCTGTATATTCTTATTATCGTGTTTGAGGTCCGAAATTTGACGGAAAGAGCCGAGATGATGTGTCTGTCTATTAGCAGCAGATTTAAAACGCATTTACTTCCATGATGCCCATTTATATACGTTGAATTAGAACTATTTCATGAAATTAAACAATCCTCATTTTTCAGTGTCTTCATAAAAAACTTTAATTGCAAATCCCCTTAAGATAAACAAGGAAATAAAAAAGGCCAGCTTTAAAAATATTTTGTTCCCCTCTACAATATTAAGATGTGATTTTCATTGACCGACTAATTCCATAATAAAAAAAAAATCATTTCTGATTTTGCTCAGCAATAAAAATGATTTTTGTGGTTAAGTAGTGGGAAACAAATATTTTATACAATATTTATTGGTCCAACAAGGTAGGAAACTCAAAGATGTCCAATTGACATTGCTAATAAAAAAATAATTAACAAAGTGAGATAAAAAAGTGCAAAAAATCTATTTTTAGCCTCAGTGACCTTGACCTAGTAAAGCGAAAATGATAGCGGTCCTAGGATCAAAGGTCAATGGATAGTTCCTACACACTAGATATCTTAAATATCAGTCAACAAATAAAGATGCTATGAGAAATGGTAAGTTAATGTGATAGGTAATGTATATATTATATATATGCTAAACTTATAACATTCAAAGAGAGCATTAAAACTATACAAGCTTGAGATCAAAAGTTTTAAATGTTTCCAACCACATTACTATAGAAAAGTAATAATCACAACTTAGGTTAGGTTAAAACTTAACAACCCAAAGTTACTGTCAAGTAATACTGCTTAAGGAATAGTCTGTAGGCATTTATTGTTATCATACTAGTACCAATCAAACTGTGCCTACATAAGTCTTATCAATATTTTCATTTTTTTTTTTTTTTTTGGTTGGGTAATATCACATATGGCATAACCTTCCAGCAATCTTTTTCCCCGGAAGAAGTCAGGTGACACTTTGTGCATTTTTCAAGAACAAGCAAACCCATGCCTTTAAGATAGGTTCTTCACATGAAAGAGACACTAATCCCTTGCAGTGAACGATATGCATATGATTCTTTATCAGCTACCCTGGCCACTTGGTCATGATGGTCTCTCAATATTTTTATGAATGTTTTTGGAATGCTAATGACTTCACGTCTTTTACAAAACTCCAAAGCATTGTTATCTCATTTTACTTCGCATTACACTTGCCTCAATTATCAAATGACACTTGACCCTTGTTTTTATCTTCCTGGTCTATAAGGTGTAAATATAGCTTTCAATGTGGTCAACATGTATTGCCAGATCAATGTCAATTTACCAAGATACAAGGATGAATTACCTGAAATATATATATTTGAAAACTTGTGTACATTTTTTTTAGGTTACAAAGGTAACCAGTCAACATATCAGTAATACAAGATAACTGAACATAATGACTTGATTTCAATTTGATTAAAGTGGCAATTAACTGATTGCAGGGAAAATCAAACTTTATTTATGTTTTTATATTACATTTTTTCCTGCTAAATATAAACACATTTAGTAAAATCTTTTTAAAGTTATAAAATGGAAACCAGTAATTTCACAGAAAATTTTGCTGAACTAGGGACACAACTCTTCCAATAATGGGTTGATTTAACTGAAAATCGAACTTGTGTTTTGATATAAAAAGCTTACATGCCAAATTTAAACACAATCACTGAAATCCTTCAACAGTTCTGCTACATAAACCAATTATCTACGTACAGACAAAGGGACAACATCATACCATAATATGTTCCAAAAGCCTCTAGGCATATAAAAAACAATCATAAATACATTGAACAACAAACCTTTCAGGAAAATTTTAGCCAACACACAACAACTCACTATAGCTACTGCAATCTTCCATAAAATATCAAATGTTGGGAAGGAAAGTTTGCTGGCAAGTAAACAACCAAAGTACTTCATGTGTTTCATAATTGAAGATTCTGACTCTGAAATAAAATATCACTATAAATACATGTGAGCTGCGTCACAACAAAACCAATATAGTGCGTTTGCGACCAGCATGGATCCTGACCAGCCTGCGCATCCTCGCAGTCTGATCAGGATCCATGCTGTTCACTATCAGTTTCTCTACTTGTAATAGGGTTGGTAAGCGAACAGCATGGATCCTGATCAGACTACGCAGATGCGCAGACTGGTCTGGATCCATGCTGGTCGCAAACCCATTATGTTGGTTTTGTCATGGCACAGCTCATGAACAATATAATTATCCTGAGTAGTGATAAAGGCTTGCCTATCTCACCAGTATGGAGGCCTGTCAGTCTGAGTTTTCCAACACAGTGTTCCCATTAATATTTAAAACAACTGACGGTAAGAAATAATGTTTTTGTTTTCATCCTTACTCTCTTGTTATGAAATATATCTCCACAAAACTCTTAAGACCTTTGGGTAATGTTAGTATTAACAGCTCTTGTGTTATGGTATTAATCATTATTTAATAAAGTATGGTATACCAAGTTGTAGTAAAATAACTTTGATAGTTTCTGAGAAAATTGGTTAAAGTACATGTAATAAATATTTTCATCTCAAATGAAGAGTTTATAGGTACATGTATGTACATACTTTAATTATTAAGCAAGTCTTTACAGTTCTATAGACAAAGTAATATGTGCTTAAAGCAACAGTGTTTTATACAGCTAACACAGGAACCCCCCAACAGACTTTCTGCACTCTTACTTAGAGAGATACCCCTGTCTGTCTTTTCTGCTCGCTCACCAAGAGGGTAACCTCCACCAGAGTTTCTGTCCTCTTTCAAAGAGAGATAATCCCAACTGACTTTAATTCTCTCTTAATAAGAAGTACTCCAACCTGACTCATCTGTCAAGACAGAAAAAACTTGTACAATAAGTACCAACTTTGTGTGAGATATTAATACAGATATCATAACAGTACCTTCTATATTTTTTGGTTCCTCCTCATCACAAACAGCATCCTTCTCTTTTGATGTTTCTGTGTTTTTCGATTTAGAATCTTCTTGTAATTTTACATTAAGTTTTTCACAATGTTTTAACATTTTATCCTTCATATCTTGAGTCAGGAATGTGCACGAGTTTAAAAACTGTGGAACTAATAGAAATCTGTCTTGTGGAAGCATAACATGTTCAATATAAAGGGCAGCAACTCTGTCATAACCTGGTTTGTAAGAGTTATCTTCATTTCTTAACCATAAACTTGCTAGGGCGTGACACTGAGAATATTCCTTCACTCTTGCATGTAATAATATACTGAAACAAACAAAAAAAATATCTTAGAATCAATTAAATGGGTTTATCATTTTAATCTCATATAGTTTTTATTTCCCCTACTTATATGTTATAACAAATATTCATTTAAATTTAACATTACTTCAAAATTATATACATATACTAAGTATGTAGAAATATGTGTATATGTTTTCCTTCAAAATTCATATTAAATTCGACATGACTACATTAACCCATTACTTCATATAGACATCTTTTTTGCGCCTTTAAACCCCCCCCCCCCCTTTTTTGAGACCTCAAATAGTGAAAAAAATTGCCCTATTTAGACCCCAAACATCTGTTTTCGATTAAGAGATGTTGTTAAACAAGAACCGGTTGAACCGGGTGATGCTCCCCGAGAAGGTTCTGGACACAGGAAAGTATAAAAAAAATGAACAAAGGGCAAAAACTCCAAAATTAGGCAAAGCGGAGTTATGTTTTTTTGCACTGCACTTCTCTTCAATGAGATCTATCTATCTATAAAGTTTCCTGATGATATCAGAGTTATGTCTCAGGTAAAATTCAAAGTGTAAAAATAAACAAGGGCAATAACTCCAAAATTAGACCAGGCTTTGTTTAGGTTCTTTAAGCATTGCAGTTCTATCCAATTATATCTAGCTACCTACAAAGTTTCATGTTGATATCTCTAATAGTTTTAAAGTTATGTCCCGTACCAAAGTCAAAAAGTAAAAATAAACAAAGGGCAATAACTTCAAAATAAGGCAAGGCAGAGTAATGATTCTCAAGCACTACACTTCCACCCAATGAGACCTATCTATCTACAAAGTTTCATGTTGATATCTCTTATAATTTTAGAGTTATGTCCCAGACAAAGTTCAAAGTGTCAAAATGAACAAAGGGCAATAACTCCAAAAGTAGGCAAGACAGTGTTACAGTTCTTGTGCACTGCAAACCTACTTAATGAGATCTTTCTACCTACAAAGTTTCATAATGATACCTCTTATAGTTTTAGAGTTATGTCATGGACAAAGTTCAAAGTGTGAAAATAAACAAAGGGAGATAATTCAAAAATTAGGCAAGGCAGAGTTACAGTTCTTGTGAACTGCACACCTACTCAATGAGATCTATCTACCTACAAAGTTTCATGTTGATACCTCTTATAGTTTAACAGTTATGTCCTGGACAAAGTTCAAAGTGTTAAAATAAACAAAGGGGGATAATTCAAAAATTAGGCAAGGCAGAGTTACGGTTCTTATGCACTGCACACCTACTCAATGAGATCTATCTACCTACAAAGTTTCATGTTGATACCTCTTATACTTTTAGAGTTATGTCCCGGACAAAGTTCAAAGTGTAAAAAATAAACAAAGGGGAATAATTCAAAAAAATTAGGCAAGGCAGAGTTACAGTTCTTGTGCACTGCACACCTACTCAATGAGATCTATCTACCTACAAAGTTTCATGTTGATACCTCTTGTTGTTTCAAAGTTATGTCCCGGACAAGAAAAGGGGACAGACGGACGGAAAGACCCGACGGACGGACAAGGCGGCGACTATATGCTCCCCCGAAATTTTTCGGGGAGCATAAAAAGTGATCACTATTTGGCACCATCCCGTCAAAGAGATACTAGTACATCAGGGGGGTTTGAAGGGGGGCAAGCAGCCGCCCCCCCCCCATGTCCAAGAAGATTTTAGACTTATGAAAGGCTAAAATTGGCTTCAGGAAAGTTTTACAAACACTGAAAAGCCTTTGACTCTGTCTCCATCTAATTCTTTTGAGAAGTTGCAGCACTTTGAAATCAGTTTTGATGGAAAATATCACAACGCAAAATAGTGATTTTTGGCACTATTGAGATGTCCACATGTTGCCATGGTAACAGGAGCATGCTGTTACAAAGGCTATGGTAGAGTAAACATTTGTGCCAAGTATGATTAGTATTGAAGCATTTTTTTATAGTTTCATAGCAATTTGAACTTGTAACGGAAGACTTTTCAATGAAAACTGCCATTTTTCACAAAATGCTCATTATGCTCATGCAGTAATGGGCTAAGTTACTCTACCAAATTACCACATTACAACACCTGTTTGAATAAACATTTCTCTTAAGACAACTGTTATAATGTTATTTAAGTATTTAACCACAGCTGTATAAATTTATTATTACCACAATGTATGCATTTTCTTACTACAAACATTTACCAATTTAAGGCAATAAGCATAACTTTATCTTACCACAATTGTATCACTAAACTAGGACAAAGTTCAATACTGTTGTAGACATCTTGAATCAATGGTAATACATCTTGCCATTTATTCATTTCAGCCAATGCCTGAATACACAAAACACAAAGACGTTCAATGCAATCTTGGGCTCTGAAAATATATGAAAAACTTAGTCTTTATACGGGGAAGTCAAAGACCGGGCCCGCGAAGCGGGTCAGGGCTTTGGCTTGCCCGGCTATAGACTACACGTGTATATTTAAAAGAAAATCAAATAAAAAAACAATTAAAAATATATAGAATTCTATACCTATCAACGAAATTTTCAGTGTCAGTTCTAGTCGGGCACCGCCATTTACAATGTAACTCAATGATAATAGGCGGGGTATTCCGATAACGTACCAAATCTCAACTTTTCGGATAAATAATAATCGTCGAGTGTTCCGAGTGAAAACGGAAGCAGTGCATGTAATACCGAATGACACCTTTAAAACGGAAGGAATGAAAGGAATATTTTAACGACTTCCCCGTTCATAGGCTTTGCCTAATTTCATATTAAGTTATAATTTGTTATTAATAAGACATTAATGCACAGTAGAGGAGAGCTGTAAGGTGATAATCAGCCTGCAAAATGAATAATGGCCCTGATGGCTTCAGCTTCTGGCCCATCTTTGACTTCACTTAAATTATTGAAAATATTAGACAAGGATAAAATTTAATGAAACTAAACAAGAACCAGTTGAACCGGGTGATGTTCCCCGAAAAGGTTTTGGACACAGAAAAGAATACTTCTTGAAGTGTCAGAGTTATGTCCCAGACAAAGTTCAAAAATGAACAAAGGGCAATAACTCCAAAATTAGGCAAGACAGAGTTACTGTTCTTTTGAACTACACTTCTACTCAATGAGATCTATCTGCCTACAAAGTTTTATGTTGATATCTCTTATAGTTTCAGAGATATGACTCAGACAAAGTTCAAAGTGTAAAAATGAACAAAGGGCAATAAATCCAAAAATAGTCAAGACAGGGTTATGGTTCTTGTGCACTGTACATCTACTCAATGAGATCCATCTACCTACAAAGTTTCATGCTGATATCTCTTATAGTTTTAGAGTTATGTTCCTGAGAAAGTTCAAATTATAAAATGAACAAAGGGCAATTACTCAAAAATTAGGCAAGGCTGAGATATGGTTCTTTTGCAATGCACTTCTACTCAATTAGATCTATCTACCAACAAAGTTTCATGTTGATATCTTTGATAATTTTAGAGTTATGTCCCGGACAAAGTTCAAAGTATAATAATGAACAAATGGAAATACTTCAAAATTAGGCAAGGCAGAGTTATGATTCCTGTGCACTGCACACCTACATGTTTCTTTTTTTTTTTCGCCGATTTTTACATTTTTCATTCATTCTAGGCCCATCATACATAAATCAATGTGAAAAAGTGAATTGGACCTGTTAAAGTTCATTCTGTTGGGTAAAAAGGCAAGATTTTAGCATTTTATCATTCAAGAGCCTTGTTCGGTATATAGCGGAATACAGTATTTAGTGTGGTGCGCCAATCCTTTTTTGAGTCGATAAGGGAGATCACAGTGTAGCAGTTTGGTTATCCTCAGACTCCATAGAAAAGCGATGCCTCTTACTTAACAACCAATTGGTACTTTGTCCATGTAGAATTGTTAATAGCGAGCTCGACGAGCTGGCCCGAAGGGCCTGCTCGCAAAGCGAGCTTTACGGTAACGCGAGTACCTGCTAAGTGATGGTTTTGAAAACTTTCGTTCAAAGTAACGAATTTGACACATCGCAACCTTTCGAATTGAAAGATAACGATAAAAACTGAGGAATTCTGACTGAAAACGGATGTGTAGACTGGTCACCCGCGCACGTCTATGGGAACCATAATTGGACAGGGAACCAGAATAACGGAAGCTGTGTATAAAAAATGAAAATCGAAGGCGCCATTTTGTTTGAAAAATCTGATAAATAAAAACATTTTTTTTGTCAAATTTTGTTGTGAAAACTATCTAGAATGAAAGAAAATGGTCTAACTAAGAAAATGAATCCGAACACCAATATCTTTTATTCAGTCGTTAACGCTGTACAGACGTTTAAAGTATTGTTTTTTTTTTTTTTTTTTTTTTTTTTTTTTTTTTTTTTTTTTTTTTTTGAGGCCCCAACTGGGTAACCCCGTTTATTTACCCCGTAATAGGTATGAGAGGGTCGGGGTCATCCCTCTGATACCTTACATGATATATACATAATATTTAAATCATCATCTATAATAATATTTTTTAGATAATTATAATATACATTATATTCAAACATTCAATCAATTTTCATATAAATATGTATAACAATTATGTATGATAATGTATTATGCAACAGCTTCAAAACAAACAAAGAATATTGGTTTGGGGTAAATTGATTTAGTGTAGCCTATTAGTTTATTAAAGTTCTTACAATTTGCCATCCTTCATTTACATGTTTGGTCAAATTTGTATTTTTTGTAAATATTCCACGCCAATTTAAGACTATTTCTAAAACCAGGTATTGTAGGTAACACGATTTTTCTCTTTGACAAATAAATATATCTTTTCAATTCTAAAAACAAAATATCATATTTAAAATCATTAACTTCAGAACCTAAAATAAATGATTTACAATTAAAATTATCATCCAAATTATCTATCTTGTCTTTCAGATATTGAAATAACAATTGAATTTTTGGACATTCCCAAAATAAATGCAACAGAGTTTCCTCTTGGCAATTGCAAAAAGTACACATTTTACTATTGACAATTTTCATTTTGAATAAAAGTGAGTTTGTTGCTAAAGTTCTATGAATTATTCTTGTCTGAAACCACTGAATATAGGAATCTTTGGTACATTTAAATACATAACTATATATTAAATTCCAATTTATATCAAAATTTGTAAAAAATGAGTTCCATTTTTCTTGACATGTTGGTACATCTTGATTTTTAACTAGAATATCATAAACATATTTCTTTTTGATATTTTGTGTAATTAAAATAGGTTTTATATAACAACTCATAATAGGGTATTGAACATTAATAAAATCTTTACAAATAGAAATGTTAAGCTTTTGTGTATATAATAATATTGCTTTTTTCAAACTATGATATTGTAAAAAATTTACTTGTTTTTGTGTCACCTGCTCTAAGTAAGTTAAATCTACAAAATCGCCTTGGGGATTAATAATATCATTAACAAATCTGATTCCTTTTTCATAAAAAATTTTGATATAAAAGTATCTATTTCCTGCTAACAAGTTATGATTGTAAAACAATGGCATTTGTAACACTTGTTCTAAACTGTCTATACAAAGTTTATCTGTAAAAATCATATAAGCTTTTAAAACATCTATCCAAAAAGCATTTTTAATTTTATCAATTGTCAATTTACAAAACAATTTACCTGTGCTAAACACTTTATCAATATTGAATAAAGCCATCACTAGCTGTTACATTTACTGTTACTATTACTAACATATCTTTTAAACCATTTTATCTTTACAGAATGTATATAACTATCAATATCAATCATATTTAGACCACCTTCCTGATATGTTTTAATAACTACTGATTGCTTTATCTTTGCTTTACCTTCCCATATAAATTTATAAAATAAGTCATTAAGTGTTTTCAAAAATGCTGAATTAGGTGTTGGTAAACTTGTAAAGCAATGAGTGAATAAAGGAAGGAGTAATGACTTAACAACAGTAATTTTTCCTATAGGTGTTAACATTCTTTTTTTCCAGTATCCTATACTATTTTTAACTTTTTGAAGTTTTTCATTAAAATTTAACTCTATCATTTTTTCTAAATCAACATCAAATATCAAACCTAACAATTTAAACTGTGTATCACCCCATGTCAGTTTCCATTTTGTCTTAATAGATCTTGTACTGTATTTAAGAGAGCCTATCCAAATAACTTTAGTTTTATCAAAATTTACTTTCAATCCTGAAATTTCTGAAAACGTGTTTAATAACTTTAAAACAGTATTAAGGGAATTTTCTGATCCATCTAGCAAAAGTGAAGTATCATCAGCAAATTGTGTAATTTTATATTCTTCCCCATCTATATTTATACCTTTAACATCTTTACATTGTCTTATTTTTATTGCTAAAATCTCTGCACATAAAATGAAGATATAAGGTGAAATAGGATCGCCTTGTCTACAACCTCGTTTAACTTTGAAAAACTTTGATAAATATCCATTTAAAATAACACAAGTTTCAGTATTATATAAAAATAAAGATATCCATTTTTTAAACATAGGACCAAATTGAAAAAGTTCTAGACATTTCTCTATAAATGTAAATGATAACGTATCAAATGCTTTTTCAAAATCTATCATCATTACTAAACCTGGTATATCATTATCCTCAGTATATTTCATAATATCATACAATAATCGAGTGTTCTCACCAATATATCTATTTTTAACAAATCCTGTCTGATCCTTTGAAACTAGAATATCTAAAACAAGTTTAAGTCTATTTGCTATGGAACCTGAAGCTAATTTATAAACTACATTTAATAAAGTTATTGGTCTCCAATTTTTTAAAAATTGTTTTGGTTTTTTTTCTTTTGGAATGCATGTTATTGTTCCTAGCTTTTGATTTCTAGAAAAAGAATTAACAGTATAAGCAAAGTTTATAGCTTTTACAACAAAATGTCCAATTCTATTCCAAAATATTTTAAAAAAATTTGCTGTAAATCCGTCACAACCTGGGCTTTTATCATTTTTCATGTTTTTTAATGTAAAAGAAACTTCATCATATGAAAGTAGACCTTCAAGATTCAATGCTTCATTTTGAGACAACTTGGTAACATTACAATTTTCTAATTCCATATCAATCTTAGATTCTTCAGTTATATCAACATTTTTATATAAATTTTCATAATAACTACATGTCTTTGTAAGAATATCTTTTTGATCATATATAAAGGATCCATCATCAAGTTCTAGAAAAGGAATAATTTTATCTGAACAATGTGTTTTTTCTAAGTTTAAAAAATAACTAGTAGGCTTTTCTCCAGATTCAATCCATTGTGACCTTGACCTTATCATAGCACCTCTTATTTTTCTATTTCTTAATTCAGTCAATTCATTCTGTAAGTGTAAAAGTTTGTCTTTATTTTCAATTGTCAGGTTTTGCTCTATAAGATTAATTTCTTCAATTAACTTTTTTTCATAAGTATTTCTTTCTTTGACCTTATAAGAGCTGTAAGATATAGTTTTACCTCTTATTTCCATCAAAAGAGTTTCTAAAAAAAGTTCATCATTTATAACAAAATTTACATCTTTGTTTTTTGGATCTAAAACATAGTCTATATTGTATACTGGTAAACAATATTGTAATTTTACTTCATCTATTTTTTTATTTATAATATCAAGGAATTCAATGTCATATAACAGAGCATTATTAAATTTCCATAAACCTTTTCCATGACTTACAGAACTAAAACAAAAATCTAAATATATTATTGAATGGTCAGATTTATAACTAATGTCAATATCACATTTTCGTACATACTGATATAAACTATTTGATATAAGAAAAAAATCTAGTCTACCTTGTTGTATAGGGTTGATTCGTCTCCATGTATATCTTTTCATATTACCATGCAGTTCTCTAAAGGGATCAATGAGGTCTTTTTCTTCAATAATACTTATTAAAAAATTTCTTGCCTTTACATTATTGTTTTTTGATTTATAGTTATAATAATCTAAGTCAGGATTTTGAACAAGGTTGTAATCTCCACAAATAATTAGAGAGTCATTATCATCAAAAGAATCTAAAGTATCAAAAATGTTTTTAAAGAAACTAGGACTGTCTATGTTTGGCGCATAAATATTAACTAATGTGAAATTTATAGAATCAAGCATTATTTGTAAAATTATGAAATTTCCTGAATCATCAGTTTTAACAGAATTAATTTTTATATCTAAACCTTTTCTGCATAAAATAGCCACACCTTTGGCATTAGACCTACCATGGCTGTAAAAACATAAACCATTCCATTCAGAATAAATTTTCTTTTCAATTTCTTTTATAAAATGTGTTTCCTGTAGGCAGAGAATATCAGCTTTTTTTGACTGAAATAAATCTAAAACATCTTTTCTCTTGATACTATCCTGTAAACCTCGACAATTGTAAGAGAAAATATTAAGACTACTCATAACTAATATTTACAATAATACATTCAACACTATATCTACAATATACATAGCTACACTTAAGTAAAGTAAATACAATATGTACATGGACCCAGAGAAACACTTCTAAATAACATAATGACCTCAAAAATATAAAAAAATGTGCTTGTATATAAAGAAAGAAATACATTTTGCCAATAAACAAGTAAAATTTACTTATGGAAGAAAAAACTTTTTGTAGAAGATGCATAATATGTTTATGTTTCATCTAATTATATCAAAAATTGAAACATTCTTTTTCATTGTTATTTCTAAATGAATAACACATTCAATGAATGAAAATTATAAATTAGAGGATATCAAAGATTTTCTCATAAACGTGTGATTCATTCTCTTAGAGATGTATAAAACAAACAATTTTCACTTGTTGTGGTATTCACAAGTAAACAAATGAAAAACAGAAACAAATATTTTATTCATAAACAATTTAACAAACTGAATTTTCTGTAAATTATATAGAACAGAAAATATGTTTTATTAAGACTTTGTTATGCAAATAGATAAATAAAACAATTATAACATCATGTGATCATGGTAACATAAAGTGTAATATGAAACTTAGAGTAAATATTAGATAAAAAATAATGTTTTAAGTAATAAGTCAATATTTCTCTATCATAGCAGTAATAGAATTACTACTGGCAACCTCACAGGATATTGTATACCATATTTTACCCAGTGAGTCTAACCATCCCACTGAAAGTAAAACTCCCTCCCGATAAAGGCGAGGGATAGATGTTAACCAGCAGCAGAACTAAATACTTACTGGACAGGTTTTTTTGTAGATAGAGAAATTGGAATTCTTTACAGTATGATGACATTAAAAGTGATACATGAATACACACAAATATCATATGATAATGAATCAAATAAAATTTCTATTTAGAAAAGATGAAAATAAAAGTAAGTGTTTATTTCATCCATATTTCACTCACAAGTTTTATGAATATATAATTACCAGTTCAAAATAACAAGTACTTTATTTAAGATATAGACCATTTATTTAATAAATATACCTATTGCCAGATCAAAATAACAATTATTGTATTTAAAAAAATAGAATTTTTTTTACGTATAACGTATATTATACAAGAATTTATAAATTGTCAAGGTCTTCAATCCACAAATCTATTTTAAGCATTACTTGGCAAATAGGATTTATCATTTATAGCATGAAATGGCCTTATATGATAATACAATTTTCCAATATTCTATAAATAACTAAATAATTTACATGTATATAGGTATAGCATGTTATTAAGAATTAACTATCACCTGCTTAGAAAATCACTTAGTTAAGAAATAAATATATTAAAAAGCTACTTAAATGTAGCCATTTTTGCTTATATCAACATAAGAATTTATTGAAAAATAATCTAGAAATATGTACTTTTTAACTTTTTAATTAATTGTCTTTAATTGCTGGACACATTAATTTTTTGAAAACAACTGAAAAAAAAGAAATCATTATATTTTAGTCTATAATTACATATATATTTCATCTGTTCTCTTCATCCTGTCTATGATACATTTATCTTGTAGATGTTGTCTTTACATGGGTCTTCTTTTCTCTGAAAGTTTTTATCACTTCATTAATATTGTCATACAAGTCAAATTTTATTCTTTCATCCATTTCAGTTAGTCCATAGACAGATCCATTAAAGAACCATGCACTTTTTATTGTAGGGTGCAACAGTAAACGGTTTATTAAACCAGAGTTTAATGTTGTTACATCATCTACCAACTTGTGTCCAGCGTCTTTCATGGTTTTCCTTTTCCTCATTATTTTGGACTTGGCATCATTGTTGATTGTGTTTATTAAGACAGGTCTTATTTTGTGATTCCTTGAAGGTAGTCTGTGGATAGCTGCTATTTCTTCTTTCTCGAGTTTGACATCTTTTTGTTGCAGAAGGTTTATTACTTTATCTGTCAATATTTGGATATTTTCATTTCTATCTTCAGCTATGTCCATTATTTTTATGTTATTTTTTCTGGAGTACTGTTCATTATGATTTGCTTTTTTGTTGGCATCTTTGACAGCTTTTTCATTTTGAGATATTCTTTCTTCCATTGTGCTTAGCCTTTTTCCGGTCTCTGTCTTTGTTTTTGTCAGACTTTCCTTCAAATGATTATTTTCAAACTCAAGTGAACTTATTTTGTCATTTAACTCTTTAGTTTTTTCTTGAATCTCTTTTTTTATAATGATTTCCATTTTTTGCTGTAATTGGGTCATGGCATTTGTGATTGATCTTGAAATTATTGATTCTATGTCTTCTTTTTTTATGATACCTTTTAAGTCTCCTTTAAGCTCTTCAAGATTTTCTGACATTAAGTCTAGCTGATTTTGTATTAATGACATATTCATGCTGTCATTACTTAATGTGCTGTCATTACTTACTTCTGAAATTGCTCTTTTAGCTGGAGGTTGTTTTCCTGTGTTCCCCTTCATTGATGTTTTAAATTTTGTACCAGTAGAGTTGTCCTTTGACCCTTGTCCTGATCCTTGACCTTTACTAGACATTTTATCAATTATTATACTTGCTGTCAAAGTTTACTGTTAAACAATTATTTAAAGTGTAGTATCTATTATTGTCCAATTGTATCTTAGAATTCCTTTGTATGTGATAAATTATAGTCCAGTTTAATCCAGCTTAATCCATTATCCTTACAATCACAGGTAAAAATCCAGGTAAAACCATGTACATAATCCAAAAAGCAAATGATTTCAAACAATAGAAAAAATTTTCTTTATCAAATATCTCCATAAATCTTTATTTATTTTTCATTATATTTCACCATCTAATGCACTATTTTTTAAATTTCCATTTGATATAAAAATTATTACTATAATATCACTAAAACAACATATTTTGCAGAAAAACTTCAGAGCAAATTATCTGCACATTTTTAACTGAAAAGCCCTGAGGGAAAAAAAAAAAAAAAAGTATTGTTTACGTGACGTCACAGCGTAGCGCCAAACAGCACGTGCAAAACAAACAAATCAAGTACACTAATTTAATGTCGCAAACGTGTTAAGTATTACATTTATTTCACTTAAAAAAATCTTTATTTCGCTTGAAAAATTATAGAATGAAATAAAATAAACAAAGTTTTATCAACGTTTTCAAAACTCGTTATTCATTTCACGACAGGGGCGGAGCCATATTTAACACAGTACGTGTGACGTCACACGCACTCGTCACTGCATTTGAAATAAAAATGAGCTTTCATACAAGTACATCGAGCTCGCTTTGAGGCTTTGCCTTTTTCATATTATAACCATTAGATCTACCTTTGAAAAGGTCATCTGTACTATAAATTATATATTGCTACTACCAGTTCAATAAAGAGGACGCAAGATATAATTTTTGTAGAATCTACCTTTCATCTTCAATAAACTGTTTAGCACGTGTTATTCCGCTTAAGCACGTATATCGACAATCAACAAAGTCTTTCAACAATAAATTATCAGTTGCGCGGTCCATAAAACCGTTCAATTCACTTGATAAATCCATTTTATTTATCGGGGATTCCACTTTTGGGGAAATCAGCGTAGCCGCCATTTTCATATCATGTGACATAGAAAGGTACAACTAAACGACGGATAATGGACTTGGTATGCGGATAAGACAAAATTTTCTCATAACACGAAATAAAATAAAATAAAATGATTAATTCGTTCAGTAAGGCAAATGCCAAGCATGCTGGCAAAAATTGACTTATTTTAACCGAAATATTATCAATAATATTTTTTTTCTGACACATCGATCCCGTATTAGGGCAATAGCCCTCCCGTGAAAATGACAAGGCGGACAAAAGCCCTCCCGTGAAATTGACAGGACGGACAAAAGCCCTCCCGTGAAAAATAACAGGGCGGACAAAAGCCCTCCCGCAGCAAATACATATCTGTACATTGAATAGTTTGTATTTTCAATTCAATGCACTCCACATAATAAAATTGTAATCATGAATATTTTTTGTTTTCCATTGGCATAAGCGTGTTTGTATGAGCTTGAGTACATTCCTGACTGACATCTGAATAATAAGTACTAAAATCTGTAAGTGCATATTTATTCACGTAAAAATGAAGAATTACTCACATGTGAAATTAAGATTAATAGAGTAATAAATGATGAGAAGAAGTTAAAATTAACTAAAATTAAAAGTCCGAGTGCCTTGTAATGAGTCAATTACTTTAGAAAGTGACTTTGTTTTAAACGAAATTCGTGTGAAAATATTACCTCGTTAATCATTTCTGAAAGGTACATTCTGAATGAAAGGTGGTTCTAGCTCATAAAAATACTTAGACCAATAGAAAACAACAACAAATATATATGTTACAAATTTAATATCTTAAGTGCATTGAAAAAACCCTCAGGTATGTAACATACATATATATTTTGTACGGGAGGGCTTTTGTCCGCCTTGTTAATTTCACGGGAGGGCTTTTGTCCGCCCTGTCATTTTCACGGAAGGGCTTTTGTCCGCCCTGTCAATTTCACGGGAGGGCTTTTGTCCGCCTTGTCATTTAACGGGAGGGCGTGTCATTTTTATCCGAGAGGGCTTTTGTCCGTTTCCCATAAACTATCATATGATAGTACGGTGTGTCAGAAAATGATAATTGATATATTATATACATGTAGTATAGATTCTATACGGGTATGTGCCAGAAAAATATATTTAGAAAATATTTCGGGCAGTTTGGGTTATATAGGTAGGTATTTTAATTTATCTCATGATTATTTAAGGACTCTGGTGCCAGTGGGGAACATATGCCAGTGGACGGATACTTTAACCCAGAATCCAATACGGATCATGAATGACAATAGTCGAATAACTACATGTATGACGTCCTTTTGAGATATTTTTTCTTTCCAAAACAAGTTCATATCGTAATTGCTCACTTTCCGCAAGAAAATCTTGCTGAACGATAAAACACTTACTTAAAAGTCATCATAAATACATTAATTATGATCAATTACGAACAAAACTAAAAAAGAAATACTTTTTAACAAAATGATTAAACTGTCACATCCGAAAAATCATGATTAAATCCTTTTATTTCTTGAATTAAATTCTTGCCGACTTAACTGTAACTGTAAGTAATGTCTGATTATATTTGACTAGAATATCAAGTTAGTCAGTGATAAAAGGGTCTTTCAAATAGTATTTTTAAGATCCTGGTGATAATTAATGGATCTTAGTTTTCAGCCAAGGTGTTCGTCAGCTTAGCCAAAGAATGTGGTCACTCGTTTAATGTGCAGTAGGCCTTTCCATGACTAAAAATAGAGTCCAATTTGTGAAAGAACTTGCAGATTATAAAGAAAGCACCTGATGCTGCAAATCAACATCACCTGTTCAGCCAATTAGACCTACATTTTGTTGCCATTAAAGATACTGTTTAGTTAACAAAATCGCCATGTTAGCTTAGGACGAGCCTCACGCGGATTCTTTGTGATCTAGATTGTTTCTTGGGGCAGGGGAGGTGGACAAATAAAGTCCGCTCCGTAAAACGGTAATTCCGTTTATTTTCAGTTTGACTTTCTGTAAATTTTACAGGGAAGAACTGAATATAAGAAGAGATCTTTTATTGGTCATTTTAAAATTACAAAATAAAATCTTGGAATCTCATTGGCCATTCTAAAATAAAATGTAAAGGATAGTTCTTGTCATTCTAAGATATTTCTAAAAGGCCGGTCTGTTTTCAGTTTGACTTCCTGTAAAATTTACAAGGAAGAACTGAACATAAGGAGAGATTTCATTGGTCATTTTAAAATTACAAAATGAAATCTTGGAATCTCATTGGCCATTCTAAAATAAGATGGAAAGGATAGTTCTTGTAAGTAAGTAAGTAAGTAAGTAAGTAAGTAAAGGCTTTATTTATCGAGGCTACACATTTGGTTTCCCAATCTTCCATGTGGGCCTCTAAGAAAAACATAATTTACAATATATACAACTACAATATAACAGAAATAATTGCAACAACATTGTAGTACAATGTACATTGAAATTATCAGAACAAGAAATACATGTTAATAATTTACAGTCCATTCATAGCATAATACATGTCAAAGAAGTACATATCAAATTAAACAAAGTGTGAAATATGTTTTAGTTAGTACATCAAATGATAAGATTCTAATTTTGTTATAAAATGATTAATTTAATGATGAAAAATGCCAGGATAGATATGTAGCTTGAAATTCCTGAACTGTTTTCGATTTTCTTATGTTAAGAGGGATATTATTCCATAATTTAGGGCCAGAGTATACTAGGGATTTTCTGAAAAATTCTTTCTTAGGTCGTGGAACAGCTAGGTCTGAACTATTTGTAGATCTTAAGTTGCGCTCATGTTTTTGGTAAACAAATTGGAATTTACTTTGCATGTATTGTGGATATGGAAGGTCATTGATAGATTTAAACATTATGATTGCTTTTTTGTATATCATTCTGTCATCAAATCTCATCCAATTTAGTTCTTTAAACAAATCACTGGAGGGTGCATCAAAACTTTTATCTAGAATTATTCTTGCTGCTCTTTTTTGGAATTTTATGATTTCATTGATCAGATCATTGCTGCAATTGCCCCAGATAGTACAGCAATAATCTAAGTGTGGTAAGATGTATGAGTTAAAGAATAGTTTTCTTGCATGTAAGTCTAGGTATTGCTTGATTCTGAGAAGTAGGTATAACTGAGAGTTGCATTTTTTAAGTATCATTTCTATTTGGATTTTCCATTTTAGTTTACTATCGACAAAAACACCTAGTAACTTTTCGGTTTCAGAAAATTGGATCATTTGATCTTGAAGGTGTAAAGGTGGTAAATGAAGCTGTGTATTATTTGATGTAAGGTGCATTGCCTTTGTTTTCTGTGTATTTAAGACCATTGCATTTTGTATGCACCATTTGTTTACATGTTTGAGGTTGGTTTGAAGTTTATCATGTAGTTCTTGTGGTGAATGTCCTGATGCTGTAAGTGTGGTGTCATCTGCAAACATGTCTATTTCTGAGGTCTCTAAATGAAGTGGGAGATCATTGATGTATATAATGAAAAGCAGGGGCCCAAGGACAGATCCTTGGGGAACACCTGATATAACTTCTGCAGATTCTGACAGTTTACCTGATACACTGACTTTCTGTGTTCTGTTTGCAAGATATGATGAAAACCATTTAATTGTATGATAAGAACAATGGTAATAATGCAGTTTCTGAATAAGAATTTTATGGTTTACAAGGTCAAATGCTTTGGTTAGGTCAAGAAAAATTGTGCCAACTAGTTCTCCATCATTTATTGCATTTATCCAATTGTCAACTATGTTTGTTAATGCTGTTTCACAAGAGTGCTTGGTTCTGAATCCTGACTGGGCCTTAAAAATAAACTTATGAGTTTCTAGAAATTGTTTTAGATGATCAGATACATGCTTTTCAAATATTTTAGAAATGAGTGGAAGTACAGATATTGGTCGGTAATTATTTTTATCAGAATTTTGTCCTTTTTTAAAAATGGGTGTAACTTTTGATTGTTTTAATTTGGTAGGAAACTTTCCTGTTTGAATACTTAAATTGATAAAGGTCTATATATTACAGAAGATGCAGTTTTTAGAAATCTACCACTGATTCCATCGAGCCCAGTGGCCTTTTTGACATCAAGTGAGTCTAATGTTTTTTTAACATGATCCGGTTCAATTGGTGGTATCACAAATTCTGGAACATCTAAGTTAACTTTACCTTCTAACATTTCTTTTAAAATAGATTCATTTGCTTTATTCAGTGCTGAAATATTTCCCGATTTTTTAAATACGTTTGAAAAGAAAGTATTGAATATTTCTGCAGTTTCTTTTGGGTCAGAGACTGGATTTCCATTGTCATCATTTATATAGTTTGTTTGGAAGTTGTGAGTTTTGCCAGATAGTGCTTTTAGGTTCTTCCATAATTTTTTAGGATTTTTATTCTGTGAATTTATTTCTTGATTAAAGAAGTCTTTTTTTGATTGATGTGATAGTATTTTAACTTGTGATCTCCAGTATTTGAATTCTTCTGTTTTCTTTTTCTTTTTTGCATAATCTCTCATATGAATTGCATTGGCTATTTCATCTGTGAACCATTCATTCTGGTTTTTGTGTTTTACTCGTTTTTGTCTATATGGTGCATGTGAATCAAGAACTTTTAAAAATAAGTTATAAAATGTGTCAAGAGCATCATCTGGTTCAGTAAATACATCAATCAATGTCCATGGTTGATTACTTAGATCAGCTAAAAAATGTTCTGCATTAAATTGCTTTAAATATCTATAATTGATAGTGAGATGTAATGGGCCTTTTTTAATTTTTTCAGTCTTGTCATTCTAAGATAATTCTTAACGGCCGGTCTGTTTTCAGTTCGACTTTCTGTAAAATTTACAAGGAAAGACTGAATATAAGAGGATATTTCATTGGTCGTTTATAAATTACAAAATGAAATCTTATGGAATCTCATGGGTCATTCTAAAATAAGATGTAAATGATAGTTCTTGTCACTTCTCACTTCCCCTCGGAGCGTGCACGTCGCTGAGAAGGCACAGGGCATCGGCAGAAGATTTACAACTTGGCTGGTAGACAACTTTAACGTAGCCTTCAACCGTGGGCGTTAACTACGGAATCCTACTTATAATAATAATAATAATAATAATAATAATAAACTCTTTATTTAACGAAGGTAACTTATTAAGACAATACATCAAAGCATTAGATACAACACATATAATGCAAAATCTTATTTTCAACAAGGCCTTCAATAAAACATAAACATAACAACGGACATATTAAAGCAATTGTAATGATTACAACATTCAGTAAATCTTAATCAACAAAGAAGACAGACATAATATTATATTATAGTATAGGTAAATTTTCTATAATTCATCTCTAGATAATAATAAATGTTTGAAATGTGATTTAAATAATTTAAGACTTGAAAGATTTCTTATTTTTAAAGGAATAGTGTTCCAAAACTCCATACTAGAATAATAAAAAGTACGTTTCAAATAATTTGTTTTAGGTCGTTTATGCATAATATCTTTTTTATGTGTTGATCTTAGTAAGTAAGTTTTATTTTGAGATAACGGAATTAGATTAGAAATATATGCTGGCGTTAATTCATTCATCGCTTTATATACCATAATTCCAGAAAAGTATTTACATCTAGATGGAAAAGATAACCATTTCATATTTTGAAACATATCAAGAGAATTTGTTTTTACGGGTTTATTTAAAATAATTCTAGCGGTTCTTTTTTGTAATTTTGTTATTCTATTTAGATCTGATTTGTTACATTGGGACCAAATAATACATCCATAATCAAAAGTAGGGGCAATGTAAGCGTTATAAAATAATTGTTTCATTTCAGGTGTAAGAAATATTTGAATTCTTTTCAGCAGAGATATTTTAGAAGCAAGCTTAGAACATGTTTTGTCAATATGTGTTTTCCAAGATAGACAGTTATCAATATGCAATCCAAGTAGCTTTTGGCAATGAACATTATTTATACTCGAATTCTCAATATGCAGAGAAAGATTGCCTATGTTATTTATTTTACATTTTGATCCAATTATCATGCACGTGGTCTTTTCTGGATTTATGGCCATATTATTGAGAGTGCACCATTCCTGTATTTTTAGTAAGTCTAGTTGCAACTCAGACTGTATATTACTCAAACTTTGGTCAGCTATGTGTAATGTTGAATCGTCTGCATACATATCAATGTCTGAATTCGTAGTGACTGATATATCATTTACATATAAAAGAAACAGTATAGGACCTAAGATTGAGCCCTGTGGCACGCCTGATATAACCGGTAAGCTTTCAGATTTATCATTGTTGACTTTTACAATTTGCTCTCTGTTAGAGAGATATGACTGGAAAAATTGTACAGAGTTTTCAGAAAAATGATAAAGTTTTAATTTATGAATCAGTATATTATGGTCAACTAAATCAAAGGCTTTTTTAAAATCTAAAAATACAGCACCTATTATATTTCCATCATCAATATTCGTAAGCCAAGCATTTATAAGGCGGATCAAAGCCGTTTGGCAAGAATGATGTCTCCGGAAATGATGTCTTCGTCACTTCTGCGGACCAGCTGCCGATGTTCTGACTAATGCCGAGGGGAGTGGCCCTACAAAGTAGGCTGAGACGACGAGGATGGTGTACTAGGGTGCGTGAGCCCCTAGTACAGATAGACGGCTTGTAAGGCAGGCCTATATATAGCTGGCACCAACAGCCCTTTTCAGGGCTTAACACCTTTCCTATTGTCACAGGTTACTGTACATTTAGGTTCTCATTGACCGCCGTACAGTGACCTACTTTTGGCTCAAAATTCATATCTTTGGCTAATACTCCGTGGAAATTGCATGGAGGTAAATTATCACCATTTTGTGCTTCAAAATTAACTCTTTAAGGACATGACTGACATGTCCGGGGTCCGTACTCGACAGCGCAAGCTGCATTTTGTGCCCTCGCGGGCGGATGGACCCTCATTAAGCTTAAACTACTGACTGACTGACAAGTTCTTGTCATTGTAACTAAAATGTAAAGTATAGTTCTTGCCGTTATGAAATAAAATGTAAAGATAAAATAAAATGTACCGTAAGATTATCTAAGATAGTTTTTTTTAACTTTCTAGTTAAATCGTGATATTTAAGTTCGTTTTAACAATTCTTCTTGCATTCAGATCTCGTAACATTTTCTAGTGAACAATTTATTTTACCAGGTACGTATATACGTACCTGATTTTACACAATATCCACGGATTTATATTACAAAATAAATACGATTGTATTAGCCTATAAATCCGTGACAAAAAAAAAAAAACAAAAAAAAAACGAGAACTTATCAGATAGACCCTTAGTTTATGATGTTCAATAAGTGTCTAATATTTGATATGATTATCACACCGGCAATAGCTTTCGCAGAAGCAGTGGGTCCATCGCAGCGGTTTTATCATGGCCGTTTGCTGTTGTCGGTAAGTGAATTTTGTTTTATGTTTTAGGGATCACCTCTAAATCAAAGAACAACAATGGCATCTCATACACAACAGGTTAATTGCCTGTTCAGGGACATGTAGAACTCAAGATGAGTTAGAAAAGAAAACCAACAATCTCGTACAAAAACATCGGAATTTGTATTCTGATTTTAAAAGAAATTTAAGTCAGACAGGTATGTTACGTATACAGTATAGTTATGCCAAGGATAGGAACAATAATTCTATCAATAAGTCATACTCATGATAAATAAAAACATGTTGATGATAGAGATTTATTTAAACTGAAGCTTTAAGTAGGTTTAAAGCTCATGACTTTAAAAACTTAGTAATTTGATAATTCCTTTTGTTTCTCTTTTCTTTTGAGGCCCCAACTGGGTAACCCGTTTATTCACCCCGTAATAGGTATGAGAGGCCGGGTCATCCCCACATACCTTACATTATTTATACATGCATATCATTTTGTAATTTGATAATTCCAAATTTATAAACTGCATTTCAATTTATGTCTTACCAAACTTGTCATACCATTTCTATAATTGGACTTTTTATCATTGAAAAGTTTATGCAAATGAAAACATAAAATGATATCAAAAATTGTTATACCGGTACCAGACAGAAATTTATATAAGATTCAAATGTCAGCAAGACCTTTGAATATGTATTATATAAGAAATTGTAAGAATCCATTAATGACATAATTGAGCCATGCCACGACAAAACCAACATAGTGCATTTGCGACCAGCATGTATCTAGACCAGCCTGCGCATCCCCGCAGTCTGATCAGGATCCATGCTGTTCGCTATCAGTTTCTCTACTTGTAATAGGGTTGATAAGGGAACAGCATAGTCCTGATCAGACTACACAGATGCGCAGACTGGTATGGATACATGCTGGTCGCAAACCCATTATGTTGGTTTTGTCATGGCACGGCTTTATTTTCCACAGGCGGCAGACAAAGAACACCTGCCCTTTCCTTCCTTACAGAGGCTGTTATGGCCGTTGTAGGGAAGTGTCTGTGTGGCTGGGGTATGTTTGGCAGAGCATACAGATTCCACCATGATGGCCATAGTTGACAACAGGTGATTTATATTTTGATGTTCAATTTCTTCCTATTTTTTTAAAATGAGTATGCATACCAAATATTTCAATATTCAAATCATATAATTATAAACAATTATACTAATTTAATGTACATGTAGGCTCATGGAAGCAGTGACATTATGATCATAAAATTTATAAGGGTTATCACAGGAGTACCTTGATCAGAAACTTGTATTTGACTCAAGTTAAATTTACTAGGTAAAGATCTTATGAGGCACAGAGATCCATTCTAGTAAAAACCATGAGAGCAAACTTCAAGTTAAAGGTCAAGATTATAGAGGATATTGAATGAGTGTAAGGTTAATACTGAATTTATTGAACAAGTTGAATTAAATTATATTATGCCAGCCTCTGACGAGCATAACATTATTTTATTCAACGAGTTCAATAAATTCATTAATGAATTTACATGAATTTTATATTCTATTTATCACATACCAAAAATAAAGACTGTTTAAGGAGAAAAAGAATCATTTTGCCTTGATGGCCTATAGTTAAATCTAACATTTAGCCCATCTTATCACTGTATGTATGTAACACAAATGACATTGTGTCAAAATATATGCACTGCTGAGCAATACCATTTTTACGAAGTCGCAAAAGTGGCAAGGGTATGTGATAAACACCCATAGTAACTTCAATAATAATAATTTCTATGTATATATCGAACTATGAATTACTTTGTATATTTTAACAGTTCTGAAACTACTGTCCACTGTAGAGCTGTCCATAAAA